ACCTTTGTGTGTTTGCTGCCATCTTCTTGTTGTTTTGCCCAGATGAATTGAACTGTGTCTGTCGTGGTCAAAAGATAAGCAAGAATAATTTTGCAGTATATATTTACAACTTGTAAACTTTTCTTAGAATAATGTAACATAAAATTTCTTTTAGGTCATTGCATATAATACCAGAAGTAAGCAATTACTTCTCAAACATAGTTTTAAGCTATTCTTTCAATCCTATTATGTTGCAAAACTGAATTGAGTAGTCTTTAATGGGCTTTTAAATTTTAAGTGAGTAGAGGTCAAGAGTAGAAAATTGCAACTTTAAAAGGGTAAACATCTGTTAGATTTAATGCATTTATAATGATAGATTATCCTGAAATATTAATATTTGAAATTGAAAATTGAATTGCATTTTACTTTCTCTCTGTTTCACTTTTATTATTTTCTCTACCCCTCTGTACCCTTTTCAGTTTCCTCAGGCTGGGGAGAAATGCTAATGTTCACTCAAAGGCTGAAAACTCTTGGGGAGAACCATCCTCCCTCTCTACCCTGGTTGACAATGGCACAGCAGCGTGGGGAAGCCACCCAGCAGTGGTAGCGGATTGGAGATCGCCCCGCAAACCTGCCGTGGCGTTCGGAAGGGCTGGCGACCCCGGCTGCTCCAGCCCTGTGCAAACCAGGTAGGCCTGCCATCCCGCTCGCCTGATCGACCAGTTAGAGTTGGCGCTCAGAGTATTCTATTTAGAGGAATACTTTTCATTGAATTTTAAAACTAAATTTTTAGGATACTTTTATCATATGTTTATACTTTAAACTAACTTTAAACCAAGACTGTAAAGAATATTTGTCATGTCTGCTCATGAACACAAAGGAGCTTTTAATAGAAGTCATGCCCTCCATTTATAATAATGTGAATAAATACAGTATCAAAGCCACCTAGCATATATGTTTGGTACTACTGGTAACATCCATGCTTCAGCAGTATCCTTGCCTGGCACATTAAGCAATTTAAACTTGCTGTTTTACTGAGCAAGATGGATAAACCATGTCATTTTTTTCTTCTGGAGATTAGTTTTTGAAAACATGGGTTACTTTGAAGCAGTCTGACACTCCTTGCCTACTTTAGTCTTGTCAACAAGAATTCCACTCTGGGTACTCTTGTTTATATTATACAACTTGAAAAAAGAAAAAAATTGTGCATTTTCCTCCATTTTCTTAAAACGTAACAAATATACAGATAATATACATTCTTACCAATGTCCAGATTATTTTTACCAACTAGAATTCTTGTTATTATATGGGTATTTTGCAATATGATATTTACAATATTAATGTGAGTAAGGTGGATTTAAATCTGATATTAAATTAATTGCTCATGTGGCTACAGAAGCTTCCTATTTTCTTGGGCATCATTACATGTCCTAGATCTTAAAATGCAACTTTAATGGTTTTGTGTTTTGTTATTTTGCTAATATGGATAATACATCATATGTCCACCATTCTACTGGAAGTATTTATTGCACTCATATTACTTTTTGTACAAATGCAAAGATACGGAATTTCTGAGTATTTAGATTCACATGCCATTTGAGACTGTATTCTGTTTTTAGAATCTGTCCTGGAGGCCCCAGTTATATGCCTGTCCTATATGTTTGTAAGCATCCTACCCTCCTCATCTGAAAGACCCCAGCTAACTGTGCTATCACCTAGTCTTTGGCCTTCTTCACATTCTTCCAAGGAGTGAAAACTGGGTAATTTTGACACCGAAATTCACTACACTTAAGAAAGGAGAAAAAAATAACATCTTGAGATGGAAACTCAGTAGTCAGTTTGTAGTTCCATCTGCCTCTGCCCTGCTAGTTTACGTTTCCCAGGAGCCTGTTAGAAATGCAAGCTGTGGGGCCCAAGCTCAGACCTGCTGCATTCTGCTTGTGCCCAGCCGACTCTCGCAGATTGCCAGTTTGACAAGCACTGGTCTATATGATGTAATGCTCACAGGTTTGGATCAAGCAGTGTTAAGAACCGACCAGAAGATAATGACATTTTTCAGGAATCTACATTTTAGTAGCTTTTCATACCATGTAGAGATTGTCACCTTCTCCTGTAGCCCCTAGGATTTATTTTAGCATGATGGTTAGTACATTAAGTTTGGAACAGTGCAGACTACAAATAGCTACAGTTTGAAGGAAAACGTATAATATACATGTACATACATATCTAGTAGGAGAAATGAAAAAATGAATTAGTAGGCCGGGCGTGGTGGCTCACACTTGTAATCCTAGCACTCTGGGAGGCCGAGGCGGGTGGATTGCTCAAGGTCAGGAGTTCAAAACCAGCCTGAGCGAGACCCCATCTCTACTATAAAAATAGAAAGAAATTTATGGCCAACTAATATATATAATATAAAATTAGCCGGGCATGGTAGCTCGTGCCTGTAGTCCAGCGACTCGGGAGGCTGAGGCAGTAGGATTGCTTGAGCCCAGGAGTTTGAGGTTGCTGTGAGCTAGGCTGACGCCACGGCACTCACTAAGCCTAGGCAAGAAAGCGAGTCTCTGTCTCAAACTTTGCTACATCAAGACGCATTCTACTTTTAAGAGGAATTTAAAACTTTTAAGAATTAATTTAATATACTTCCATAGTTTAATATTTATCTAGTTTTGACTTGCTAATAATTTATAGGGCATATTGCTTTAAAGAGATGAATGTTTAGAGACAAATTCTAGGGTCTTCATTATTATAATACCTAAATCAGTATTTTATAGCTAATTGGTCTTTAGCAACACCAAAGTTATTTAGCTCTAAAACATCCATAATTTTAGCAGCTTGTTAATTTTCTGATTTAATTGTCCCTTCAATTTGTAAACTACTTTTCCAATATACGTTGTGTTTTCTGTGTAATTAAAGATAATATCATAGTTAGCAATTGCCAGTGATAACCAATAGGGCTAATCCCCTGTTTTGGGAACAATTTGGCATAATAATTGCTCAGCATAGAGTTTGTAATTTAAAATAATTCATAGGTTGCATGTCCTTTTGTCATCAATCAATATTATTGTATTTTATTAGAATATAAAGAGTATGCAGGGAACTGTTTCATGCTTACTTTAGTCAAAAATTAATAGATTTTTAAATTGATTTGTAAACCCATGTGAGACCAAATAATTAAAATTTGCAGTAAACTATTTGCATTTTATGCCATTAAGCTTTCTCTCTTCTCCTCCTCTCTCCTCTTTTTTATTATTATTTTTTTTGAGATAGCGTCTCACTCTGTTGCGCAGGCTAGAGTGCTGTGGTGTCAGCCTAGTTCACAGCAACTCAAATTCCTGGCTCAAGTGATCCTCCTGCCTCAGCCCCAAGTAGCTGGGCTACAGGCATGCACCACCATGTCCAGCTAATTTTTTTAATATTGTTTTTATATATTTAGTTAGCCATTAATTTATTTATTTTTAGTAGAGACAGGGTCTTGCTCTTGTACAGACTGGTTTGGAACTCCTGAGCTCAAACGATCCTCCACCTTGGCTCTCAGAGTGCTAGACTACAGGCGTGAACCACCACGCCCTGCCCATAAGCTTTCTCTTGCACAGAAGTTACATGCTTTCTATTCTTCAAGTTACTCCTAAAATATTCACATTTCTATATCTGATAAAATGTATCTATATGCAATTACAACTAACACAAGCAATTAATCATTATCAACAGTGTAAAGTGAGCTTACAGCAGAAGCAAAATTTTTAGAGTTTGAGTTAGTTTGGAAATAAAAATTTATATGAGATTTTTTTCGTGCTGGAATGTAAAACACTTGGAAAGATTCTCGTTGCCTGGTCTTACACCACTTTGCCTGTAGATAATTCAGTTTGACCCTAGAACAACGTAGAGGGTCGGGTGCTAACTCCTACACAGTTGAAAATCTGAGTACAACTTTTGACCCCTCCCAAATTTAACTACTCACCAATAACATAAAGAGCCGATTAACACATATTTTGTATGTTATAGGTATTATATACTGTATCCTTACAGTAAATAAGCTAGAGAAAAGAAAATGGTAGTAAGGAAAAATCATAAGAATAGAAAGATATCACTGATCATTACATGGAAGTGGATCATCATAAAGGTCTTCATCTCATCATCTTCATGGTGAGCAGACTGGGGGGAGGAGAGAAGGGCTAGTCTTGCTTTCCAGGGGTGGCTGAGGCGAAAAAATCAGTGTATAATGGATCCTGCAGTTCACACCTGTATTCACCTGTCATGTCACACCTTCCACATTCATTGTGAATTATTTATTTCTGTCAGGATCGGTCCCTGAGGATGCTGTCGCGGCAGGACTAGGCAAAGCAATGAAGGATTCCTGAAAACCTTGCAGTCAGCGTGACCTATCAGAACTACCCTAGTCCCTAATTCCTCAACTCCGTTGTCTTCCAGAAAATGCTCAGACAGACGCTCATGGTGGTACCAGGGAACTGCTGCATTCTGTAGTTATTACTTTACCTTTGTGTGTTTGCTGCCATCTTCTTGTTGTTTTGCCAGATTGTAATGCACTTTGTCCCCTGGCTACAGTGCCATGGTGTCAGCCTAGCTCACAGCACCTCAGACTTCTGGGCTCAAGCGATCCTCCTGCCTCAGCCTCCCGATACCTGGACTACAGGCATACGCCACCATGCCTGGCTAATTTTTCTATATATTTTTAGTTGGCCAATTAATTTCTTTCTATTTTAGTAGAGACATGGTCTCGCTCTTGCTTAGGCAGGCTTCAAACTCCCGACCTTGAGTGATCCTCCCACCTAGGCCTCCCAGAGTGCTAGGATTACAGGTATGAGCCACCGCGCCCGCCTATTTCTAAAATTTTGAAGCATGCTTGCTTACTATCCTCTCTCTTAAAAAAAAAAAATGAATTAGTAAAAAGGTAGATTGCAATATACCTTTTGTCCCACCTCCCCTAAATTATATGTTGTAGTGAAGCATTGTCTACTCAAGGGGTGAAGGATTTGATAAGTTCATGTTGACTCTCCTTCTAGCTTCAAAATCTATGCAAGAAGGCTGGGGCAGTGGTGGGGATGACATGAATCTCGGTACCAGCCAGTGGGAGGATGAAGAAGGAGACATGTGGAATAATGCTGCTTCCCAAGAAAGTACCTCTTCCTGCAGCTCCTGGGGGAATGCTCCCAAAAAAGGACTTCAGAAGGTATGACCAATACTCATATTAAAGAAATTAAACCCTGAAAGTAGTCTGAAAGATGTCACTTTACAGAAACAGTTTTCTATTACACCATTTTTATAGTAAAAAAAAAAAAAATGAAAACTTCAATGTACATTGATTGGGTATCCAGTTAAATTATGCCACATCCATATTATGGAAAGCTAAACATCTTTTAGAAGAAATTCTAGGTATATACTGATACGAAAAGATGACTAAAATTCATTGTTAAATGAAAAGCAATGTACAGAAAAATGTGTATAACACCCAGTTTGGTGAGGGGGCAGGGTGTGTGTGTGTGTGTACATGCACATGTACATCACAGCTTCTATAGAATATTTTAAATTCTCTGTAAGGATAGATAAGAAACTTCAGGTGTGGTTGCTCTCTCCTGTAATCCTAGCCCTTTGGGAAACTGGAGGCAGGAGGATGGCTTTTAGGCCAGAAGTTTAAGACCAGCCTGAGCAAGAGCGAGACCTTGTCTCTACGGAAAGTAGAAGAAAAGAATTAATTAGGTGTGGTGGCATGAGCTTGTAGTCCCAGCTGCTTGGGAGGCTGAGGCAGGAGGATCTCTTGAGGCTACTGTGAGCTATGATGATGCCTCTGCACTGTAGCCCGGGCAACAGAGTGAGACCTTGTCTCCAAAAGGAAAAAAAAACTGCTAAGAGTTTCCTCTTGGAGAGAACAGGAACTAAGCAGATGGGGTGGCATGAAAAGAAGACTCTTTTTTTTTTTTTTTTTTTAAGGTATTAGAGGCATTAGCAGTGTTGGAAAAGAAGACTCTTGTTATACCTTTTTTATACTTTTGAATCATATGAATGTACTACTGTTAAAAAAAAAATTTAGGTTAAAAAACCATTCAGTTAGCAACAAGAGAACCCAGAAACTAAAATCAGTGCTCTCTATTCATAAGGAGTAGAAGTGATTTACTGACATCAAAAAAAAAAAAAGTCTTTTTACAGCTGGGTTGGCAAATAATCCAGTTAATGATGGGACCAAAAATGCCAAATTGGTAAATTATAATATTATATAATCTTAGCTAATCTGGCTTTGGCAGCATAGTAATGATTAAAATAGCGTGCAAATAAGCTGCTTCCTTAAGGAAAGAAAGCCCGTTAGCTTGTATAACTCCACGTGCTCCATTATATGGTTATGGCAGGGTTAGTTTTGAAAAGCACCATGAAGAATATTTTTAGAGGGGAATTTTTTCATATTGTGCTAATGCATCATTGGAGCCTTTGCAGTTGCAGACACGGAGGGCAGTTGCTGAGCAGCCGCTTCTGTCCTGCCCGCGGCCCCGTCCTCTTCCTCCTCCCTCATTGCAGGTTCCTACTTACTCCTTTTCTCTGCGCTAATGGCTGTAAGTAATGAATTGTTAATAAAATTAACAGGGTTTTTTTTTTCTTTCTTTCTTCTTGTTGCCTTTTCATTTATTGGAATGAACCCCTCTGCGTCTTAATCACTTTTTAGAATAAAGCTTATAAAAGGGCAAAAACCATTAATTTTTAGTAAACTTCACATACGGCTATGTTCAAGGGAGTACATCTTATGGTTATGTGATAATGGAAGTAGTATATATTTGTGATGAACTAAATTAAATTTCTAGGAAAGAGAAATAATTATTCTGCATGCTTTTTTTTTTTTTTTTGAGACGCAGTCTCACTCTGTTGCCCGGGCTAGAGTGCCGTGGCATCAGCCTAGCTCACAGCAACCTCAAATTGCTGGGCTCAAACGATCCCCCTGCCTCAGCCTTCCAGGTAGCTGGGACTATAGGCATGCACCACCGTGCCCTGCTAATTTTTTCTATATATATTAGTTAGCCAATTAACTTCTTTCTATTTATAGTAGAGACGGGGTCTTGCTCTTGCTCAGGCTGGTCTCGAACTCCTGAGCTCAAGCAATCCTCCTGCCTTGGCCTCCTAGAGTGCTAGGATTACAGGCGTGAGCCACCGCGCCCGGTCTAGTCCGCTTTTTTTTTAAGTCCATAAATTATACACATACACCAACCTACAAATGCATCCTGATGCTTTCCTATAGTATTAGCCACGAAATACTCTCAGGGACTTTCTGGAGTACAGCACTATTCAATGTTAATACAGAAAGATTCCATGACTTTTAAATCACAGTGAATTTAGGCTATCTCCCATTTCTGGAAGAAATGCATTAAGATGTCACTCATGGACTTCCCCTTGCTTGCACTTTGTTCCAGGGCATGAAGACATCTGGCAAGCAGGACGAGGCCTGGATCATGAGCCGGCTGATCAAACAACTCACAGACATGGGCTTCCCGGTGACTGGCATCTTGTTTTACTGCTACCTACCACGGGGCCACTCGAATGAGTAGCCCTGATTGTTTCCTCTCCATGTTTGTCATGTGTGACAAGGCAGGAAGCCTATTTGGGGGATGAGATTATTAATATCATCCAACTTCCAATTCCCCCTTTACCTGGACAATTTGGATTAGGGATATCATTGCTTTGAACCACAGCAAAAACCCACATGATTTCTATTGAGAAAGGTGTGAAAACCTTTTCTTACTAAAAGAACAAAAACTGCTGTGTGATTTTTAATTTTCATTGGTTTATACAGTTTTGTATTTTCTTTCACTTTATAATTAAAAGTGAATTGCATTAGTTCATGCAGTACATTGACAAAGATCCCAAGAGAAAACTTGGTATAAAGTACCAGAGCTCCATATCCAGAAAAAATATCTTAACCAAACCTGTATATTTCCTGAGCTTCTGATCACTTGTGGGGAGAATTCAGATCGCAGGATATCCCCTGAAAATGTATCACAGTCCGTTCTGACCCTGAGATCGGAGGACATGAGTTCAGATAGTGAGGGATGTTGCCCATATTTGCCACATATTCCCTTCAAATGTTTTCCTTCCAAATCCAGAGGGTGAGGGAGGCCTCAGGGAGTCCTGATTTATACTGTCGCACTTAACACAGCGCCCTAGTGGCTCTGATCATCCACTGAGATTAGTCTGTTCCAATATGGGGATAATTATCAGAGTGAATCTGTTTGTTTTTGTTTCTTGGTGAAAAGTTATTGATGATAGAGCCTAGAGTTCATGCAGTAGAAAACAAAGCTCTAGCTGTGTGCAGTGGCTCATGCCTGTAATCCTACAACTCTGGGAGGCCAAAGCAGGATTGCTTGAGGCCAGGAGTTTGAGGCCAGCCTAGGCAACATAGTGAGACCCTATCTCTATAAAAAATTTAAAAATTAGCCAGGCATGGTGGTGCATGCCTGTAGTCCTATCTACTCAAGAGGCTGAGGAGGGAGGATCACTTGAGCCCAGCAGTTTGAGGCTGCAGTGAGCTATGCTCATACAACTATACTCCAGCCTGAGTGACAGAGCAAGTCCCTGTCTCTTTAAAAATAAATGAATGAATGAATAAAAGCAAATAAATGAAGCTCTACACTCTGACAGTGACTTTAACATAGTTGCTGGCACTAGAGAGAGGCAGATAGGGATGTGACTTACGAGGACAGGAGCCTGTCCTGTCCTCACTGTCTGCATGTGGCAGTGTCTGTGTCCTGCTCTCTTGGCTTCATTGCATCTTTGCTGAATCAGTGCTGCTCAGTGTTGCACTGGAATCGATTATAAGAGGACTTACAAAATTTTGCTGATACTCTACATTTTGTTTCTAAAGTATTAAATACAAGTTCTTTACTCTAAAAAGCAAGTCAGTGTGTTTTCTCATTACAAGTATTTTTTATTTAAGACATTTATCTCTAACCTCAACAATGGAGAAAAGTATGTCCAGTTCAGAAACGTAATAACCATTTCTCTAAGTTAATAGTGATTAACCTATTTACAAGCTTTTCCTCTTATTAATGCTCATTAATGAAAACTCTGTTTTCCTACACAGAGAGAGCCAGCTGAAGAGGCCTTGAAGAGCAACAACATGAACCTTGATCAGGCCATGAGTAAGTCCTATGACACACTTCAACTACACTTTTTGTTAAAGATACCCATTTGTGAAATTTTACTTTCTGGAAGCATTTTCTTATAGCCATGGGTTCATGGTTGAGTATGTACCAAGTAGGGTAGACAGGACTAGGCTGCAGGGAAGGAGCAGCCACTCGAGTGCACTAATCACAGGGTGAGTCTCTTAGGACTAGTGGGCTTGGGAGACAAATGGTCAGTGCCATATTTGGAGCATGTTTGCTTTTTCATTATTTTTTCCATACTTCAACAAATACATGGAATACCATCCATTTTGAAGGGAGGTAGCAATAATACTGTTGGAGAGAGACACTGGGATCACACACCAGACTTCATTTGGTTCTAACTGAGCATATTCCTCTGCCTGGTCCCAGAGTGGGCTCACATGGGATCAACAGAAGCTTCGCCTTGCTAGCTGAGCACTGACTCTTGTTGAGAGATGAGATTTACTGTCAAGAAACTAGCAACCAGCCTGAGCAAAAGCGAGACCCTGTCTCTACTATCAATAGAAAGAAATTAATTGGCCAACTAATATATATAGAAAATATTAGCCGGGCATGGTGGGCACATGCCTGTAGTCCCAGCTACTCGGGAGGCTGAGGCAGCAGGATTGCTTGAGCCCAGGAGTTTGAGGTTGCTGTGAGCGAGGCTGACGCCATGGTACTCACTCTAGCCTGGGCAACAGAGCGAGACTCTGTCTCAAAAAAAAAAAAAAAAGAAAGAAAGAAGCAACCCTAGTTCCGGAGCTGTTTCAAATTAATAATTATGTTAAATATTTATATTTAAATACAGTCAATTCTTATTATTCTTGGTAGTTATGTTCTATGAAGTCACTGCAAACACTGAACTAACAAGTACCAAACCAGTGCTCCCAGGGGATGCACAGGTTTCGGTTCCTGTGAGCCTCCGGCCACAGCATTCTTATCGATCGATCAGTACGTAGCCTTGTTTTATGTGTATTTCTGTTTCAAGACACCTTACTGTATATTTCTCAAAAATAGCTATATGTCATATTTCTTTATAATAAAACATTGCCCAGGATTTAATGTTTTTATGACCTGGAGAATGTGACCATAAATTCCTTTGGCTTCCGGACTCATAACAGTGCCGTCCACTGCATTTTTGTCCATCCGTCCAGCCTCTTTTACATAGTTTTATCACACACTACAGATGTTACTCAGCACTTTCCGAGCAGCATCACATATGGGTCAGCGAATTTCCTCTCCCTTTTTCTGGCTCTACTGTATCATTGATTCATTAATGTTGGACTCACAGCCACAAGTGCTTTAACTCCTGCCTGGAGGAAACTCACCCAGCATGCCTGTTTTCTCTGAAAGGCACAGCACAGCCTTGTTGGGCTTAGAAACACCAGACAGTGCTTCAGCACTACACTGGGGACCATCTTAAACACTGAAATCAACAGAGTAGCAGAAAAGTATGAAAAATGTGGCCCTAACTGTATCATCAGAAAGATACTTCTTTACAATGTGAGATCAAAACAAGACCTGAGCTGAGAACAGGACCCAAATTTTTTGATAATCTACACATGTCCACAAATAACCATAAAAGTGCCATGATCATTGATTTTGAGGTTACAAATAAATTTTAGCAAAAAGGTGACTTTACAAGTATTGAATCCATGATAATGAGGATAGACTGTATAATCACGTGCAGGTGCCGAAAGGTATGGTGCAGTCTGCCAAGACAGGAAGAATCAGAGTGAGCTGGAAGAAGTGAATTCTAACTTCTTACAATTGTCGAATAGTACAGAGTTAAAGTGGGCTAAACAAATACTAGTCACTAAGCCAAAAGAGCCATGAGGACAGAAACTGTCCTGCACAGGATTGTATTCCTCACGTCTGGAAGAGGCCTTGCGATAACCCAGACTCAGCAAGTGGAAAGAGACAGCACTGCCGTCGTAGGCACAGTAGTCAGGGAAGGCCCTCTGAGACGGGGCAGTGGTGGCCTGGCGACTGGAGTGGAGAGGTTCAGAGGGCAGACAGGGCCAGATCACAGACATGTGGGAGCAGGAGAGGAGGGCCATGGAGGAGCCAGCTGTCGGGGTTTGGCCATAGTGAAGCCAAGTGCTCTCTCTGTCCCCTTGGCTCCCAGTTTCCTAAGGGGTGGGGGGCGTGCCCCTCCCTGAGGCTGTAGCTGGTGCCTGTCGTGTGCTCGGCACTCATGACTAATGCGCACTGGCGTTCTGTTTTCAGCATTGCTTCTGTTTGTTGTGCTCCAGGCGCTCTGCTGGAAAAGAAGGTGGACGTGGACAAGCGCGGCCTGGGAGCGACAGACTACAATGGAATGGTCACCAAACCCCTCGGCTGCCGCCCACCGATCTCCAAAGAGTCTTCCATGGACCGCCCCACCTTTCTTGACAAGGTATCAATCTAAGTGGTTCTTCATGTGCTTTTTAACAAGAGTGCTTTTCTTTTTAACTGTGTCATTAATGTAAACTAGATTAAAATTTGCTGGACTGTAATATTTAAGTGACTTTAATCCTTTTTTTCCTAATATATACAAATGTTTCACCCAAAAGAGGGAATGTTGTATTTCACATGATGTTACTAGGAATGAAACAGGCTGGAATTGAAAATTAATTTTAACTTTTATTGTGTGAACTTGGCTGGATGTCTGTTTTGATTTGTCCAATGGACAAGAGTCATCAGATTTCTGTGTTACTCTCTCATCTTCAAAACACGGTTCTTCCATCTGTAAATGATATGTTACATGTTTAATCTCAGAAAAATAGATTAGAAGTGGTGGAGGCCAGGCGTGATGGCTCATACCGCAGTCCCAGTGCTTTGGGAGGTCTAGGGAGGATCCCTTGAGCCCAAGAGTTCTACACCAACCTGGGCAACATAGCAAGACCCCGTTTCTACCAAAAACAAAACAAAATCAAATGATTATGTGAAATGGGAAGTGTGAAAAATAAAAATAAAGAAAATAAAGAAGTGGAGCTTGCGCACCTGTGTCTGGCTGGCCTTTACCGATGGCCACCTGCCTGACCACCGCAGGTATCTGCAGGAAACTCCCCGGATGTCTGACAAGTCCAGTCAGAGCACAGTTCTAAGTACTGTCATGTGTTAATGTCCCTGCTCCAGATCGGTGTGACTACAAAGTGTCATTTTAAATTCAATCAAAATGTTGAACTTGAAATAAAATTGAAGTATGGACAAGTTATGAAAAAAAAGAGAAGAAGAACAGGCTCACGGGTGAGAAGTCTCAGGGTCATGAGGGCCCTTACATTGGCTCCCAAACCGAGGCCTCCACCACCACTGTGGCTGCGGGTAGGCCGGAGTGAGGCCCCACCCTCTCCTGTCCCTCCTCGGTGTGGGCAGGATTACAGGGTGTCCCATGAAATTGGAACTTCAGATAAACAAGAAATAATTTTTGGAATATACTTATATTAAAAAGTGTTCATCTGAAATTCCAGTGTAACTCAGCATCCTGTGATTTTATTTGCTAAATCTGTCAGCCCTAAGTGGGACCCCGGCCTATTTTTCTTATCTTTAAAAGGTTGGGGTAATACCTCAGGCTGGTCCTGACATTAGATGAGATAAATTTGCAAAAGTTCTGCCACATAGTGAGACCCTCAATAAATGTAAAAATAAAAATTATCAAGATTCTGTTATAACTTACCCTCTTACTAGGCTAAGCCATATGAAACTGCTATGTTTGTAGGTCAGAAACAGTTGAATGCCAGCAGAATTCAGCCTAATGTATGTATACCTAGAGCCTTGGTAATAACTTCTCAGAAAGAACGTGTTTATTTGAAAACGGTTGTAAAGTGTTTCCAAATTAGACTTTTGTCATTGTTTTTGTCCTTTTCTCCCTACTCCTATCCAAGGCAGGGCCAATAGTGTATGAGAATATTAGCAGTTAATGTATGTGTTTGTAAAATAATTTTTTAAATGAAAACAGCATCTTAATCCTATTTCTCTCTTTCTTTTTCCCTGTTCATTTTGCCCATGTTCTCCATTCCCTTTTTATCCACGCTTTTTTGATCTTTGAATTCTTTGTTCATCCATACCTTTTTCTGTTTCCTTGGGAAACTGTTTGGTGCTTTGTCTGACGGACACTGCACGCAGCTCACCCTCTCTTTCTCCAATCAGGATGGCGGCCTCGTGGAAGAGCCCACGGCTTCACCGTTTCTGCCTTCCCCAAGCCTGAAGCTCCCCCTTTCAAACAGCGCACTCCCCAATCAGGCCCTGGGTGCGATTGCCTCAGGGCTGGGCATGCAGAACTTGAATTCTTCTAGACAGGTAAGGCTGTTGTCAGAGAGCAGAATGTGGTCTTTGTTTTCCTTGCCTTTTAAAAAATGTGTTTGAAACATAAACTTTCTTAATTTTAGTTTATACTTCTATTTTAAAATACAACCAAACATGTAAAGACAGTTGAAGTACTGTAAGGATGCCCCTCCCACCAGGTGATTTGGTGAAGTTGAGAGTTGAACAAGTTTAAAATTTAACCACGCAGTAGGAAATGCTTCCAAGTGATATTTATTTTTACTTTTACCTAAAATACATTTGAGTGCTCAGCACCCTTAGAACTAACTAACTGCTAGTTGAAATGATAATGTATTGCAGAGTGGTCTTCAGTGCCATCGAAAGAGCTAGGTAGTGCGTGTCCTTTCTCCTGGCAATCAAAACATTAAATACACTTTGTTTGTTTTTTTAGACAGAATCTCACTCTGTTGCCCAGGCTGGAGTGCAGTGACATCATCACGGCTCACTGTAACCTCAAACTCCTGGGCTCAAGGGCTGCCTCCACCTCAGCCTCCCAAGCGGCTGGGAGTACTGGCATGTACCACCATGCCTGGCTGGGGTTTTTGTTTTGGTTTTGGGGGGTTTTTCTTGTTTTTTGTTTTTGGTAGAGATGGGGTCTCACTATGTTGCTCAGGCTTAAATACATTGATCTGCAAGAAAACTGCACATTCCCCCTTTTCCCCAGAAATAGAGATGACATCTCTTGTGAAGTGTTTTCAGTCACACTGGCATTCTTTTCCCTACCTTTAACACTCTTTAGGGAAAGATGAAGATCACCATGTTAGACGATACTAAAGAAAGGACCTGATGGCTGGGCTCAGTGGCTCATACCTGTAAACCTAGCACTTTGGGAAGCTGAGACAGGGGTATCATTTGAGACCTGAGCAACATAGCAGATTCCTGTCTCTACACAAAAATCGAAAAATCAGCCAGGCGTGTAGTTCTAGCTACTGGAGAGGCTGAGGCAAGAGAATTGCTTGAGGGCCGGGCGCAGTGGCTCACGCCTGTAATCCTAGCACTCTGGGAGGCCCAGGCGGGCGGATTGCTCAAGGTCAGGAGTTCCAAACCAGCCTGAGCGAGACCTCGTCTCTACCATAAAAATAGAAAGAAATTAATTGGCCAACTAATATATATAATATAAAAATCAGCCGGGCATTGTGGCTCGTGCCTGTAGTCCCAGCTACTCGGGAGGCTGAGGCAGGAGGATCGCTTGAGCCCAGGAGTTTGAGGTTGCTGTGAGCTAGGCTGACGCCACGGCACTCACTCTAGCCTAGGCAAGAAAGCGAGACTCTGTCTCAAAAAAAAAAAAAGAGAGAATTGCTGGAGGCCAGGAGTTCGAGGTTGCCGTGAGCTATGATGATGCCTCTGCACTCCAGCCAGGATGACAGCAGGACTCAGTCTCAAAAGGGGAAATAAAAAAGGCCCTGAGAGTTTTGTTTGCTACTCTGGCTCACGTCTCACCCACAGGTTCCCTAATATGAAGTGATACACAAAAACGCTTTTCCCGTCTGTGGAACATCCCTTCTCACTGATTTTCTTAGGGATGAGGTTGACACACACACACATGCCTTTGAGACTTCTCTCTAACTAGGCACTGTGATATTTGGGGCAGCGGAACAGCCCCATGTTGCCTGTGTCCCAATGTCATTATCCACTCAGCAGCTCCCAGCTGGCACTATCCCAGTGATCCGGCATTGGTGGGAAATCTGCGTCTCTGTTGTTCTGCCAGCAGCTCAGCAGAGCATGTTTGCCCAGTGCCTTGCAGGTAGCTCTTCCTGAGAGAAGCTATAGGTTGTCCTACTTCACCTATTTGTAAGGTAACTCATTCCATAGAGTGGAAAAAGCATCTAAAGTATATTGATCGTATTTATCACAAAGTTAACTACCGAATTCAATTTTAAGGTTAGATGAAATAATAGCTATATTTCCTATTTGAAACTTTTGCTATCCTCTCAGGTTAGTAAATCCCACATAGTATTACTCTTTAACTCTTATCACAGATATCCTTTTGGAAATGCATATTATTCAAATAGCTATATTCATGTTGCTATTGTTTGAAACACTGTATATAGTTTCTTTGAATGGGGATAGCCTTGTTTGGGGATACTTTAAAATTGGCACTCTCGTGTGGCTTCTGTAATTTAAAAACATAGGCAGGTTTCATGGGCTGATTTTTCCATCGTCTATAACCAATGTAGACAACATTCATTAAAAATTGCCTTGGGGGCCTAGCACAACAGCTCACACCTGTAATCTCAGCAGTTTAAGAGGCCTAGGCGGGGGGCATTGCTTGAGGCCAGCCTGGGCAACATAGCAAGACCTTGTCTCTACAAAAAATTTTAAAAATCAGCCAAGTGTGGTGTTGCATACCTATAGTCGTAACTACTCGGGAGGCTGAGGCAGGAAGATCACCTGAACCCAGCAGTTTGAGGCTGCTGTGAGCTATGTTCACGCCTCTGCACTACAGTCTGAGTGACAGAGCAAGACTCTGTAACAAAAAAAACAAACAAAAAAAAATTCCCCTCAGTGTAGCTTGACAATGGTAGGAAGCAAAAACAATTTTGCATTCATTTATAGGAAGAGGAATCATTGCACCTCACCTCCCAACAGTATCGCTCTAGCGCCAGCCTTGGTAACGGGTCTGATTCAATCTCCTGCAGATACCGAGTGGCAATCTGGGTGTGTTTGGCAATAGCGGAGCAGCGCAAGCCAGGACCATGCAGCCGCCGCCGCAGCCACCAGTGCAGCCTCTTAACTCCTCCCAGCCCAGTCTCCGTGCTCAAGTGCCTCAGTTTCTATCCCCTCAGGTCAGCCCCAGGTCCAAGCCCTGCTGAGCAAAGAGAGGCAGGTGCAGGTGTTGGGTGGGGTCTTTTGCCACATGGAATCGCCGTTTTAAAGTGAGAACCAAATTAACACGCATCTAAGAGGAGGTCTTCCTATTCTTAACCTAGAAAGCAATTTTAGCTTATAAAGTAGTAGGAGTAAACTGATTCTCCTGCTCCAGTAGACATTTCCAGAGCTTGTTCTTAGAGGGCCTCAAATCAGCCAAACCTGGTCAGAAGCAATATTGAGAAGGGAAAAGACATACCCAACACACATGCCCACACACCAGGAGAGCAAAAGCTGTGTGAAGTGCCCGCCACGTTCTGCATCTTCTGGCAGAGAAACCTGCTTTCTTCCCCAAGAGACCTCTATTGCCGAGAAGATATTTGACATTTCTGTTTTCAACCTGTTTCAAAAGAGAACATGCTAATCCATCAGTCTTCTATTATTTGTAAAATTTAATTTAAGTTTCAGTTTACTTGGTGGGAATATGGTATCTTAGTCCATTCGGCCTGCTATAACAAATACCTTAGACTGGGTAATTTAGAGACAGCATGAGTTTATTGCTCACGGTTCTGGAGGCTGGGAAGTCCAAGACAAGGCACCAAAAGATTCAGTGTCTAAGGGCCTGTTCCTCTTAGATGATGACTTTTGTGCATCCTCACATGGGCGAACAACCTTCCTCAAGCCTCTCTAGTTAGGCACTAACCCCGTTGATAGAGGCTCCCAGTCACCTCCCAAAGGCCCTACTCTCGATACCACATTGGGGTTAGGTTTCAACGTGGCAGTCTGGGGAGGACACACTGCGGACAGCACCGGAGGGGAAGAAGGCAGTGTTGGCATATGGAAACAAGCAAGACTTATCAGGGCATTCACGGGGAGTAATTTTCACCCAAGAATTGTTTGAACCTGGGTTTGTGCATTGAGTTGAGATGGCTGAAATCTGTAAAATTATAGTTAAATGCATTAGTGAGGGTACAGTGTAAGCCACTATAACAGAGAGGCCTGACAAAACAGTAGCTTAAACAAGGTGGGCGTTCATCTCTCACACAGTGGTGCAGACAGCAGCAGCTCAGGGCTAGTGTGACAGCTCTGCCCGAGCCACTTCTCAACAACAGGGAAGGAGGTGGCAGAGGGTCTGGGCAGCACCTCTGTGCAGGTGGCCTGGAAGCTGCACAGATCATTCCAGTCGAATCCCACTGTCCACACCTAGTGCCAGCTGTATGGCACAGCCATGCCCAATGTAAGAGGCAGTGGCAGAAGGAGCAGTCAGCAGTCTTCCCCTAACCAAGCAAACCAGCATGTCCCAAATGTCAGTCATCTGTGTGCCATCTCACTATTTTTTCCATACCTCCATATTACCTGTACTATCACATAATTTTTTCCTTAAGTTGACGTGCCATTTTAATTTAAATTTATTTTTAAAGGAAACTTTATATATTTACCATAAATAGAAAAATCAACATTTTTGTAGTACACATTGGACAACTATTAAAGCAAAAAATGCTCAACCATGTTCTGCCTAAAATCTTCTTGCAGTCCTGCCGTATAAAGACACATATCACACGGAGGGAAACATTTTGCAATAGCCAGTGCCAGGCCCTCACTGATTGGGGGCAGTGCATTCAGTTGAAGAGATGCCCCGAGTGGGAGGCACTCTATAGTCAGCGTCAGGTCTGGCAGAGAGCCGCTGGAAGGCTAGGGGCAGTCGTGCCTCCCAGGGACATTGTCTGCCCCCACGGCAGGTATTGACAAGTTCCTGAGCACATACCCTTGAGAAGGGCTCCCTAGAACCTCTTGTGGGGCGGCAGCTGCTGCAGGGCCTGGTCCGGGTAGCATGTGTGAGAAGTGTGCACCTACTGCCTCTGAGGACTCCCTCCCTGGGACCACCTTCATGGTCTTCAGCCCTTAAAGCATGCCAAGCCACAGAAGGAGCCCTGAGTATTTTCATCTTGGCAGAATAGGAAATCAACCACTAATAGGAATGTCCCAGAACCTTAGAAAGTTAATTTATAACTAAATCTTTTTGAAGACCAACTTATCTTCCTTCCTTCCTTCTTTCCTTATTCTTTTTCTTCCTTTCTTTGCATGCTAACTACTAATATTAAAATGTTCATAAATTTTTTAGTGGCCTTTGACATTCACCATGAGACAAATATAATTGTTATTTAATCAGTTTTGAATCTTGAAAAACTACACAGACAAGTAAATATTTTAATAGAAATACAGTGGCTAACAGTATATTTTCTGTTAAACAGGTTCAAGCACAGCTTTTGCAGTTTGCAGCAAAAAACATTGGTCTCAACCCTGCACTATTAACCTCGCCAATTAATCCTCAGCATATGACGATGTTGAACCAGCTCTATCAGCTGCAGCTGGTGAGTGGACAGACCCATCCGCGTTACAGAGCAAAGGATGGGACGTTCTCTCTTGCGTTCGTGTAGATATGCCAGCACAGACGTGGTACTGGTAAAAGTGGTCACACGTCAGGGTATGTCCTTGAGACTTTCATGAAGTTTTTAAACTGTTAATGAACTTTTTCACATGAGCGTTTTTTACTAATATTGTAAATTTTTTGGCTTCTTTATGTTTAGAAAGTCTGCCAGATCTTATAATTAGGTGTGTATATATATTTTTTTAATAGAAGTGGGATCTCACTCTGTTCCCCAGTCTGGCCTCAAACTCTTGGGCTTCAGTAATCCTCCCACCTCAGCCTCCTGAGTATAACAGACATGCCTTTCCTCTGTGCTCTCAGCCAGAGTTTCTCATCTGCTCCACCCCACACAGAAATCATTTGAGTGACTATTTTCTTAATTCTTCCGAGGATAGTATCCACAAATACCATTCTAGAAGCACAGGAGAGAAATTACTTCTTTACATATAGTAGATGCCTTAGCGCATTAGAACTTAATTCATTCTCTTACAGAACTTCCAGTTGAGAATAGCTGATGTGACCTAATAAGGCTGGAAAGTTTTATAACTTAATATATCTTGAATTTTTTTTATTTTCAAACAGTCTTACTGGCTTTACCATAAAACGTCATGTGTTTATATCCCTAGATGCATACTGAATTTATATACACTAAATGACCAAGTGTATTAATTCATTTCTTAATGTGTGGGCACCTGATTTATTTAGAATGACCAGGAATCATGAAGGAAGCAAAAAAAGGTTGGGGGGCCCTCCAGTAGACAGAACCATTGCTGCAAATGAAACCTTTGTTTATAGGAGAATCCTTCCTTCCCCTTTACTGTGTTTTAGGCCCAACAAGTTTCAGGTCTGGTTTTTCTGGAAGCAGCAGGGGAGAATGGGAAGATGGAAGGAAGGAAGTGTCCTGGAGACACATGTTGTGTGTCCTCACTTTAACAGAGGACAGAGAGCTCTACACGTGAGGTCAGGACCGTGGCTTGACCCTCAGAGCCGTTTCTTTATCCATCAGAAGACAAGTGTGTTCCCACAGTGTGGTGGTGAGGCCTCACTGTGGCCAGGTGGCGCACCTGTGTCGTCAGGCAACAGCTGGAGACTACTGACTCGGAGAAGGGGAGGAGACGGCTCTGGAAATAGGCACACGTCAGCTTAGAACCGACACCGTAGAGGAGCGCCACTCTCTGCCCCTCGCCTGCGACGCTGCAGGCATTGCTGTGTCCTGGCGTGGCTCGGAGCGGAGTCGCACTGATGTGCCAGGCTCTCAGTCGTGCAGGGAGTCGTCATTGCCCTGTGGGACGAAAGCCGTCGGCAAAATCTTGGTTCTCTTCTGTTGACTAGCCGAGTGAAAAAAAGAAGAGAAAATCATGAATTTCATGTTTAGTGCGTTCTGCTTTTAAAACAATGTTTAGTGTTCTTAATTTTTTTTTCCTGAAAAATTTCCTAAGATTAAATTTTAGGGCCTATCAGGAGTCACTGAAGTGAAGTATTTTATTCCTCTGTATATTATAGATTAATGAGGTAGTTCTGATAGTACAATCTCTACTTTTAATTGGATTCTATTTTAATAAGTCCTTTTGCCAAGAATATCACCAAAAATCTTTATAAGAAAAAATTTATTATATTCAACCACCATTTTCAATCAAATGATCTAACAGCCTGTTACCAGAATTCTGCCACATTGTCTGGGCCATTCTGAACTTTTAGTCTTTATTATTATAAGAATAAATATTTTTCTTTTTTTTTTTTCACTTTTAGTTTATGTGACTAGAGCAGAGAATTTTGCTCCCTTTATTAACTGAAAAATATTTGCAACAGACCTCATTACCAACACTAAGCAGGGGTATTGACTAAAAATGTATGTTTTAAGAAAGTTTTAGGGCTGAGCATGGTGGCTCATGCCTGTAATCCTAGCACTCTGGGAGGCCAAGGGAGGAGAATCGCTCAAGGTCAGGAGTTGGAGACCAGCCTGAGCAAGAGCGAGACCCTGTCTCTACTAAAAATATAAATATTAGCCAGGCACAGGGGACGCACCTATAATCCCAGCTGCTTGGGAGGCTGAGGCAAGAGGATCGCTTGAGCCCAGGAGTTTGAAAAGGTTGCTGTGACCTATGATGATACCACGGCACTCTAGCTGGGTGATAGAGTGAGACTGTCTCAAAAAAAAGAAAGTTTTGGGAAGACACTTATCCTTTAAAAACGCTTTGTGCCTCCCTTCCACAATATGCTTAAACAGCAGTATGGTTAAGAGACCAAAAATCGCAGCCAATTTCCCCTTTTTTGTTTTTTAACTAATGTCAGGAAGTTCAACTATTTATTGATGGCTTTCTTATAATATTTCAACTCTTTTCTTTCTGTCAACAGGCATACCAACGTTTACAAATCCAGCAGCAGATGTTACAGGCCCAGCGTAATGTTTCCGGACCCATGAGACAACAGGAGCAGCAAGTATGTATTGCCCAGGTTGATTTTTGTCACTAACTATAATTTTTCCTGATAAGAGAGATGCTAATTGCTGAGCTATTCGTGTGTCTGTCATTATTTTTCTCTAGCTAAGCCTCCCCTTTAAAAAGTCCTGGGATCAGCTAGGTGTGGGAGGAGGTCGGCCCGGCCCCGGTGGCCTCAGCGTAGACACAGTGTGAAGCACACTTGGCCCCAAGACGAGTGTGAGCGTCACGTCCCACCCACCTGGCTGAAGTGTGTGTGTGTCTCTGCCTGCCAGGTTGCGCGCACAATCACTAATCTGCAGCAGCAGATCCAGCAGCACCAGCGCCAGCTGGCCCAGGCCCTGCTCGTGAAGCAGCCGCCACCGCCGCCGCCACCGCCGCACCTGTCTCTGCACCCCTCTGCAGGCAAATCGGCCATGGACAGCTTCCCCCCGCACCCCCAGGCTCCCGGCCTACCTGACCTGCAGACCAAAGATCAGCAGTCTTCGCCCAACACCTTTGCTCCTTACCCTCTCGGTGAGTCTCCCGTGGCCTTAAACAGCCGCACCAGGTGAAGGAGGTGCCTGGAGTCCATGCGGGGTAACGAAGACTGCACTTCAGTGTCAGAGTGGCCGGTGCAGAAACAGCATGTTGGATCTGCAGCCCCAAAATCAGAGAACAGGTGTCTCAAGGCTTCTTAATAATGAAGCAACACCACCTGCCTTTGACAGAGCAAGAGTTTTGCAACCACCATAATGCTTTAAATATAAAATCTTTTAAAATAGAACCAGTGAAAATCCCTAAAATCTCATTTCCGTTGTCAAATCTGCAGTTTGCTCCATTCCTGATTTACTCTAGTGTTCTTTACCAGCTATTGTCCTCTAGCCTAAACCACAGTGAAGAGTTAATAATGGTTTTCCAGTAAAAGTATTCAGGTTTACATAAATCAAGCACATCTTAAAAAGCAATTCTTGGCGGGCGCGGTGCTCACGCCTGTAATCCTAGCTCTTGGGAGGCCGAGGCGGGCGGATTGCTCGAGGTCAGGACTTCGAACCAGCCTGAGCAAGGCGAGACCCCGTCTCCACTATAAATAGAAAGAAATTAATTGGCCAACTATATATACAAAAAATTAGCCGGGCATGGTGGCGAATGCCTGTAGTCCCAGCTACTTGGGAGGCTGAGGCAGGAGGATTGCTGGAGCCAGGAGTTTGAGGTTGCTGTGAGCTAGGCTGACGCCACGACACTCACTCTAGCCTGGGCAACAAAGCGAGACTCTGTCTCAAAAAAAAAAAAAAAAAAGCAATTCTTGTTCATAGAACTCCTGTAGTATAGAATGTGATTTGTATAATCAACCAAATCAACACATGTGCATCGAACGTCTAACTTGTAGGAGCACACTCAGCACATAAAGCTCAAAGGTCAGTAGAAGGCATGTGACCAGCCTCCAGGTCAGGCTAACCAGGAGAGGTACAGGTTACATAACTGGAGACAGTATGGAAGAAGTGTCCTCGAGTACAGTTCAGCATGCTGATTCTGCACCGACCGATTGCCATAAAAATCCAGAAGCTGGTGAAAGCATGTCAGGCTTGTGTTGTGTCTGCTGCTGCAGACATAGGACAAGGCAGTCTCTAAATACATCTCTGCAGTACATCCAAAAGGGCAAAGGCCACCTGAGTGATGATAGTGTTTCCATGATACAACTAAATGCCTCTGCAAAGAGTGGCACATTCTGATCACACAAGCGCTTTCTTCTTGGCATATAATAAACCTGGTACATCTTCAATGTAAAACGGGTAAACACTAAACTCCATTATCTCTTCCCTTTATTATGCCCCATCCATTAGTGCCCTTTGTGTTTAAGAAGCATCTAGTATTAATACTTAAGACCTGACTTGGAATTAGACTGCCTAGATGTGAGCCCTAAATTACCACTCACTGGCTCACTACTAACTTGTATAACTTTCCTAACTGCAGTTTGCCTCAATTTCCCCATCTATAAAGTGGAAATATTTACCTCATAAGGGTTTTTTATTAAATATTAAATGAGTTAATACGTAAAATTCTTAAGTAGTGTCTAGCACATAGAAAACATTTTCCAAAATGTCAGCTACTTAATGTTGTAGGAGTTTTTTCAGAAACAAATTCCATTGCATCTGTTCTCCTAAAATGCTTTAGCTTCAGCTTTCTAGTATTCATCTTTCCTCTTAACCTGTATTTGGAGAATAAAGTATAATAATCTTTACTCTTAAAGATTTTTTTATAGTATAAATGAAAGAATTCTTGCAATGAATCTTCAAAATTGAATGGAAGATAATTTTGATAACATAATATTCACAATAAAGTTACAAATGTATTGAAAACAAATAGCTAATGAAGTGTAAGAAACTTCGGCTGTAAAATTGCCTGTCTTGGCTCTCAGCGCTTCTCTGCAGCAGCACCTGTGTTGAAGAGTCTATTAAAAACTAAGCAACTCACATAAAGAAGCCAGCAACCCAAGACCCCACCCACCTTCTGTCTCCCATGGTCAGCCTCTCTTTAGTCTCTTGCCACCTGGAGTTTATTGTCTAGATGGGAAGATCAGTGGTATAAACAGGAAAAACTAACCTTGATGCCCAGTGATATTTAATTCATAAACTGCTCAAGGGCAGACTTATAAAGCAAACATCACTTGAGTGGCAAAAGAAAAATCAGAGAATGGGATTTAAGCTTGAACCTCAAACTAGTAGAATTTCAATAAATAAAGAGGAAGCCTTTCCAAATAAAGGGGAAGCTGCCTACAGGAGCAGAAAAGAAAGGGGGCTGGCATGCTCTAGGGCATGGTGGCCAGGGCTAGGCCAGCCTAGCTGACTTGTGGAGGGATCATGAAAACCAGAGGGGACGTTGGAAGAGATGGCTTAGGGCCAAACTGTGGAATCTGGAGAGCTCTGAAGTGCAGGCCAAAGCCCTGACCTTGTTGCCACCTGACCTGCCTAGATCTGTACAAATGGAAATGAAGATATCCTGTAGAGCAAAGATTACAGCCCCTTGCCAGTATCAGACTTGGAAAGGTGTTTGTTAGGTCTGCAAAGTATGTGTGTGTGCGTGTGTGTGTGTGTGTATGTTAATTGCCAACATGCAAAAATTGGGAAAAATGGCTTCTGGCTTCTCTTGAAAATGGCCAGGCCACAGTGGGTCTGTGTTCCGTGTGGCAGTAACTGGCTGCCCTAGTGGCACCTGCTTATTTTGACACTGTCTGGTTTGCCACAGTCCCCACCATGCCCACTTGGCTCCTGTGGGCATTTGAATTTGTAGCCCCTGATGTAAAGAACCAAAATGCTCAGTACCTTGCTTAGTAGTAAAGGTTCACTTTGCTTACATACCATATGGCACATGTGGACACACGGTATGGAATGTATGTACATGGTACCGGAACTGTAGCTGTTAGAAAACGATCTGTAATACTAGGTTCCATCTCTGTTGGTTACTCCTTCCAACTGAGTGTCTGTCCCACTGCTAACTGGTGTCCCCATCAGGAACTCTTTACTGCCAGCTTTCTATCACCATCCTCATCATCTTCTTTCTCTATTAACCTAGCATGGTGTGGGTCCCTGGCAGAGAAACAAACCCAAGAGCATCAGCTCACCATTACAGCTGGGGCAGATGGCAGCACCCACACTCTCAAATAGTTTAATTCCTTAAAGATAGTTTGATATTTAATTCATAAACTTCTTAAGAACAGACTTTTATAAAATTAATTCACTAAAAGTAGAACTGAATTATCCCTACCAGCTTGTTCTATAGGTGGTAGTTTAGAACTCTTGAAAGTTTTTTTTAATCTGGTGAGTTTCCATAAGATATCCCAAAATCAGAAAAGATTTTCTGAATTATTTGAATTTGTTCTATTTTTCTGTGGACTCTGATTGAGAAGCCTCAGGACCATGTTTATTTAGCACTGAAACAAAATGAAGAGAATCATGGGCCTTCCTTAAGTAAAGACTATATTAGCATTTTCACCTTAATTTAGGAATAATATGCCTAGAAATACCTGTTAAGAAGACAAAAACTGTTTTTTCCATCAGCACTAAAAGTTACAGGTAAAGTATTTGGCCATGAATGAGAACCAAGACATCCTCTAGGGGAACTTCAGAATGACATCATTTAGAGGAGTGGGTGTATCCTAACAGCATCTCTGTTTTTAGCTGGACTGAACCCAAACATGAATGTCAACAGCATAGACATGACCGGTGGTTTGTCGGTGAAGGACCCGTCTCAGTCCCAGTCCCGCCTCCCTCAGTGGACACACCCCAACTCCATGGATAACTTGTCCAGTGCTGCTTCTCCCCTGGATCAGAACCCTGGCAAGCACGGTGGGTCCTGGCAGGGTGCCCACAGCGGGGGTTAGTGCGGCTCATTTATTGATCAGCCTGCTGTGTAGCACACTCTGCGTTTCTGAGAACTCAGTCTGAAAGTTGAATAAAACCTATTCCATGCCAGTACAGATGCATAAGGTCTCAGCTAGTCAGACTTCCTGAATGCATCACCTTTCTTGAATCCCAACCATCAGATCTTAGCTAGAAACCCAGAAGTAATTGAAAATGCCCAAGAGCAGCAAGCATATAACGCATAGCCTGTATGCTTTTTATTTATATCTGTCTTTGTCAACAAAAAAATTGAGTCTACTGAAAAGTTTTTTTCAATAAAATGACAAAAGACAAATAGAAAATCAAATGCTTAGGAAGGAGGAAGAAGCAAAAATACTAACCAGAGAGATAATGTCACTGTTAACCATTAAATTTAACTATGAACTTCCTGGTAGAATAAACAGCAAAGGAAGCGTAATAGGTTATATCATTTTCTCATGATATAGACCATTCTGAAAAGAAAAAATTCTTTCTAATGGTTTATTTATGGAAAATCGTCACACTTTCTGGCACTTCTTTGGCAGGAGAGAGCTCCGTTGCCTGTGGCAGAATGATTTGTTTGGTCCATATGAATTTAACGCCCTGTTTGTTCTTCCATAGTGAGGGCAACAGAGTAAAGGGAGGGCAGGGCACAGAGACAACAACACGAATTTGTGATCAGCAAATTTGACAGCTAACCACAGACTCACAAGTTGTCCCCCGAAAGGTTTTTATGGGCAGCTTCCCGTGCTATGGATATGTGTTCTATAAAGATTTCCAACTTAAACTAAAGCGGTCCTTCAAGGGTTTTTGGTCTTTCGAGAACAAAGTTACTGATTCTTAGAGAATCCTAGACATATCAAGCTTACAATTCATGTAACTCTGAAGGGTGCAAGGCTTTAGATCTGGACAGGAAGGCTGGCAGGGTGTCCTAGTGCCTGGCTTGGAGAGTGCTCACTCAATTCTTCGCTTCCTGTTGGCTTTGTAGGTGCTATCCCTGGAGGTCTGAGCATTGGGCCTCCAGGTAAGTCCTCCATTGATGACTCCTATGGCCGGTACGATTTAATCCAGAACAGTGAGTCACCAGCCAGTCCTCCTGTAGCTGTTCCCCATAGCTGGTCACGTGCCAAATCTGACAGTGATAAAATCTCAAATGGCTCCAGCATCAACTGGCCCCCAGGTAAGACCACGCAGCACCTGTGTGCGACAGCAGGTCAGAACGTGCTGGGGCGAGGGATTAGGCCTGAGAGGAACCAGAATCTGAACTAAGGATTCTGGAAGCATTAAGCCCATGGCTTTGGCACTTTCATTAGAAATTCATTTGTCAGATCATTTTTGGGTATGGTCAGCATCAAATGTTTTTCTGTATTCCCGTAGTTCAATATAAGGAGTGGAAGGGAATGGTGGGGAGAGGGGGCACTGTATACCATCTGGTAGAACTATTCAGACCCTGTCTGGAAACTATCTTATTATTTTTTTTTTTTTTTGAACAATGCTATGACTGTGCTATGGAAACTATCTTAATGTGGTAGCTAGAACATCTGGTTCTAGTTTGTTCCAAAGAAGTCATTACTTTAATGAAAGAAAGTCTAAAGTATGCCTCTTAATTTAACTAGCAGATTATAAAAATTTCTACAAACAGGAAAAAAAAAGTTTCAAAATGTCATGAAGCAATGTTCAGGTCCTCTGATATGTGGCTTCTGGTCTTGGTTTCTATAAACAGAATTCCATCCTGGAGTTCCATGGAAAGGACTTCAGAATATCGATCCCGAGAATGACCCTGACGTCACTCCTGGCAGTGTCCCTACCGGGCCTACCATCAACACCACCATCCAGGATGTCAACCGCTACCTCCTCAAGAGTGGAGGTGAGGGGGGGCTGCTCCGCCCGCCTCTGTGCGGGAAGGTCTCTCTCGACCCTTTCAGGGAACGTCAGGGGTGACAGGTTGGGCTGTGAGGCGGGGTGGCATAAGGCCCAGTTGATGACTTTTCTAATCCTCAGAAGCAGTGTAAGAAGATACCAGGTGGTGCACATGGGGGAGGTGGAGATGGATTTGGGGTGTTTTTGCCAGATTTATTAATAGATTATGTTTTTACATGGAAGTGCCTCTCTGATGAAGTTTCATCACAGTGTTCTATGATGTGATAAACTGGACTACCATAAGTACATAGCACTGGTAAGGCCACTCGGAAAGCTCCCAAAACTTTCTTTAGGTTTCCCACTTGAAACGTGACCTGTTGGAACCATGTGTTTGCTTCTATGGTTCTTTAAAGTGGTAGCTTCTCAGCGTGTCCGTGGCTCGGCTAGAAAGCCAGCGTGAGTGCAGGTCTCCATCCCGTTTGTCCCTCCACTGTTTGTGTCCAGTTTGACGCAGCTGCGTCTTGGAGCATGGGCTTTGTAGGTGTTCCTGCTGTTGGGACAGCTGAGTGGCACGGGACAGGGAGCCAGTGCAGGACAGCAAGGGGCAAGCTGAGGTGCCAGCCAGGGCCACAGACGCGGCCCTCCCTGCGCGCCACACCTGGCACAGCAGCAGGTTGTGCCAGAGCAGGGCGAGCTGGTTGGTGTATTCTGAGGGTTGTGGAGAAATGGGGTGTAGACTGGGCTGGTCCAGGCAAGAGAATGGAATCTCCAACTCAGGGGTTTAAGAAATCAGCTGGCCACCCAACCTGGCGACTCGAAGCTCCACATGCATGTTGTATGGTCTCCAAGGGACTTGGCGTTTGGGGTCATATAAATGCCATGTGTCTCGGATGAGTCCTGAGCCTGCCTTGGCGTGGGAAGGTGGACGTTTGCGGTCGCCTCAGACATAAGCACTGGGAAACCTTCGTTCCTTCTCCACTCTGGTGCCCCTGTGGTTGTGTTTCCAGACATGTTAGGGTTTGGTACTGAGGCAGGGGGGTTGGGGGGGAGTACAACGAACATCCCTCTATGTGGAGGTCACGTACCAGGAACAGCAGCAGCGCACAGTAGCAGCAGCGGTGTACCGCATCGGCCAGACCCTTCTGCCTCGACACACTGTGCAGTGCCCTGCCCCCGGCTGCTGCTGGCCTCTCCTCTGCAGACCCACACCTAGCTCAGGGACCGGCCACAGGCCTTGTGTCACTGAGTGACCTGCATGATAGAAAGTACAAAGAGAGGCCGGGCGCGGTGGCTCACGCCTGTAATCCTAGCTCTCTGGGAGGCCGAGGCGGGCGGATCATTTGAGCTCAGGAGTTTGAAACCAACCTGAGCAAGAGTAAGACCCCATCTCTACTATAAATAGAAACAAATTAATTGGCCAACTAATATATAGAGAAAAAATTAGCCGGGCATGGTGACGCATGCCTGTAGTCCCAGCTACTCGGGAGGCTGAGGCAGGAGGATTGCTTGAGCCCAGGAGTTTGAGGTTGCTGTGAGCTAGGCTGACGCCACAGCACTCACTCTAGCCTGGGCAACAAAGTGAGACTCTGTCTCAAAAAAAAAAAAAGAAAAAAAAAAGAAAAGAAAGTACAAAGAGAAAGACATTAAGGAAAAGTGCCATAGAAGGACAGACAGCCACGGCTCTCTTGATGTTGGCTCGTTTGTTTTACCTGTTTTTATCATAGAATTTTGTTTTCTTTTTTTTGAGGATAATAGGATGTGGGTTTTTTATTTTTCTTGCTCTTTATTTATTGCCATTGGTATTAAGTTCTGATTTATATTAAAAATTTATATTAGCCTGATATTTGTTTGTATGTTATTTATAGTTTTAACCCTCGTGAAGTGAATATTAACCAGAACAGTAAAAGGTAGTCATGCTATTTCATGGCATATTGATAGGAACACTCCAGTGAGAAACAAAAATTAGCTGTAATCTTATGGGACACATTTCACTATTGCAACTTAGAGCACTGTTAATTATAAAAGAAATAAATACTATGTAGGATTAACAGTCTATAATCCTGGGATCTTGGGTTGATTATATTTGCTGATAAATGAAAGAAGAGCATTCAGAAAGTAGCTTGGGATGTCAGTAGAGCTGGCCCCTTTTAAAATTGAAGACCTGCAGGTCACAAATCAATTTTAACTTTCAGCAACTCCACTGCCTTCATTCTAAGGAGGCTGCTTACAGCAGGGCAGCTGCGGACAGCTGTGCAGGCTGTACACTCATGAGTCTTGGCGAGGCCACATGCCTGGTGGTCTAGGTGAAGGACACCCCTGAGGTTGTTCAGTGCACTGAAGCCATCAGATTCTGTGTGTGGTAATGAATGTAACAGCCAGACTGTGCCATGTCCCCTCCACCAGCCGCATCCACACACTGGTGGGGTCGTTGTCCAACTGAGGAGAGCTTTGCTTTCTTTCCATCCTGCTGTCACCCAGCCGTCACCATTACTGCATCCTCATTCTTCCCTCGCTGCTTGCTTTCTTTACAGAGTTGAGAGGGAGAGTGACATTAAAGAAACAAACCAAACAGCACGGGGCCGAGCTTTTTCACAAGGAATCAAAGTGTCTTAAGGGTGGCCCATATGCCCCGAGTCTCCCAGGTGCAGAGATAAGCTTTCCTCAAAATAAGAAACTGCAGCCGGACATGGTAGCTCACGCCTGTAATCCTAGCACTCTGGGAGGCTGAGGCGGGCGGATTGCTCGAGGTCAGGAGTTCGAAACCAGCCTGAGCAAGAGCGAGACCTCGTCTCTACTATAAATAGAAAGAAATTAATTGGCCAACTAATATATAGAGAAAAAATTAGCCAGGCACATGGTGCATGCCTGTAGTCCCAGCTACTTGGGAGGCTGAGGCAGCAGGATTGCTTGAGCCCAGGAGTTTGAGGTTGCTGTGAGCTAGGCTGACGCCACGGCACTCACTCTAGCCTGGGCAACAAAGCGAGACTCTGTCTCAAAAAAAAAAAATAGGAAACTGCAATTTTAGGGATAGAATGACTCAAGTTCATATACACAGTTAATAGGACAGATATCTTTTCACTATTCCTCTATTACAAAAGAAATGGAACCCAGCATGGTGGCACCTGTCTATAGTCCCAGCTGCTTGGGATCCTGAGGTGGGAGGGCCATTTGAGCCTGGGAATTTGAGACCAGCCTGGGCAACATAGTGAGACCCCAGCTCTAAAATATTTTAAAAGAAAGCAAGAGAAATACGAAGGGGGCTCATGGGACGCCAGGTCAGAAGAACTGCTGTGGGGATGCGGAGTCGGAGGCGTGTCTGTGCCTTCCTTCTCACGGCACACTTCGTCGTCAGGCTTCTATCCCAAACCGCAGCTGAGGGCAAGATCCACCCTTGCTGGTTACGATCGTCTCGCCCCAGAGTTAGAGCTGCCAACCCGCCCGCACGCCGCAGCCCGCTTGCTTAGTGCCGTGTTTGGTTCTGCAGGGTCCTCCCCACCGTCATCTCAGAATGCCACGCTGCCTTCCTCGAGTGCCTGGCCGCTCAGTGCCTCCGGCTACAGCAGCTCTTTCAGCAGCATCGCATCCGCGCCTAGCGTTGCAGGTACGCAGCTGGCCCCTCCACTGCGGGTAGCAGTTTCTTCCCTTCCCCAAGCGCAACTCTGACGCCCCAGCTGCTCCTGGTGGTCTGTCCGCTCCCTGGGCTGGGAGGCTGCATGGTGTGGTGGAGAGCAGCCACAGCACCTTGGGCACCTCTGCTTCCTCAAGAAAGAGTGGAGGTGACGGTGTCTCCTCCGTGGCGCGTAAGCGTCACGTGACTGTGGATCTGCCGCTTCCCTCTTACTCCCCATTGCCACGAGGCAGGGGGTTCGCAGGCGTTAAAAACTTCAGAGGCAGGCGACCGCTGGCAATTTGCTGTTGAGTTTGCCATGAGGGATGGGGAGACCACAGCAGGCCTCATTATGAACTCCCAGCACCCAGAGTGGGACTGTTTTCCACTTCTTGGATAAATGTAATATCTGGAGTATTTCCATACTACCGTAGGCTGTACAGGTGTTTCAAATAAGAAATGTCTTTCAGGCTTAGAGGAGAATTCAGAATTTTTTGTCATAAAAATTTCAGGGGAATTTGAATCTGAAATTTTTAAGACAAAAGATATAAAGAGATATAGACACATACACTCAAACAAATTGTTTAACATATTTGTTAATAGATATAGAACTTAAGGAGGGTTTATTGTTTATAAATTTCTTCAAACATATTTCTGTATTCCACTGCGCCTTTTCATCCAGATTGTTTTAAAACCAGTGTAAGAATGCCATAGGCATTCTTTTAACACCAGTACTGAGGGGAGAAAGTCGTTTTGATGTAGTTTAGCATCTTATTTACAAAAACAAATGAGTTTCCAGTTTATTTTTATTTCCTCTAATGTTCACCAAGGAGGTGTGTTTAGACCTTTGGTACTTTCGTGATCATTTGGCTAAAGAGAAAGGGCGAAGTCAAGTCATCTTTCCTACAGCTACGGCAGCCTTTCGTGACATTTTTATTTTTCTGATCAGTGACACCTTTTCTAAGATGAGTGTTCGTTTTGAAGTCGCAGTCAACTCCGGGTACCAGGCTTGGAGGCCCCAGGTGGGTTTGGACTCACATCGATGGGCCCTGGTGCCTGCAGAGGGCGCAGCAGCGCACGGGACCCAGCCCTGGCTGCAGGACCGCGGACCGCCCGCAGGGCCCGCGGAGGCCGGCGTCCATCTGGGTCATGCTCCTCCCCACTGAGCCCGCGCCTACTAGAGGGCTGGGGCTGCTGGTGGTTAGGGGTTTTTGCTTGTTTTTTCCCCAAAGGGCCTTAAAACAGTGCTCCCCACCCAGCAAGCCAAGATGCTGAGCTTCCACTCGGGGCGCTGGGCCGCGTCCGTTCTCCGGGATGTGCTGTGCAGACAGCATCTGGGGCTTTTCGGGAGAACGGTGGTAGATGGGGAGGAGCGGCTGTGTCCAGAGGAGCACAGCTTCAAAAGGGGGCGCATGCTCAGAAGAACGCAAGGAAGGATGTGTGCGCGTGATGCTTTCACTCTGACAGTTTGTTATGCTATGAGTTAGCTTTAACATTGAGCTTTGAAAATGCTGTTTTCTGGATGGCAGATCTGTGTCTGGTACATTTAGCAAGTGTCAGAAATACTGGCAGAGTCTACACTGAACACACGCAGACTATGTCTCTGAGCAGAAACTAGAGCACACGCCCCCGGCGTCTCGCTTCGAGCTATTTTATGTGGTGTTTCTTCTTTTATCACGCAGTCTGCTGGAGGCACTCGTGTGGCTCCCCAAACACCCAGTGACTCGGGCTTTTCTTCTTTGTCCCAAGAATGCCTTTGCTCCATTTCTCTGCCTTTCTAGGTAAACTGTCAGACATTAAATCAACGTGGTCCTCTGGCCCAGCCTCCCACACGCAAGCCTCTCTGTCTCATGAACTGTGGAAGGTGCCCAGAAACACTACTGCACCCACGAGGCCACCCCCAGGGTTAACCAATCCCAAGCCTTCCTCCACCTGGGGCGCCAGCCCCCTTGGCTGGACCAGCTCCTACTCCTCGGGTAAGTTCTGTGCTCCTCCCTGCTTTGCTTGTCCTCGGGGTCATGCTTACCACTTCGTCCTCAGCCTCCTCTGTAAAGACCTGCCTCCGTCCCTGGAGCCCGGGAGGGGCTGGGAGAGAGCCCAGGCCACCCCAGACTTTGCAGGCGTTGGCCAGGTGAGCAGCGCTTTCAGATCAGCCCTGGTGTGCTGGCCACAGCAGGTCTGCTATGGGCCAGGAGGCCCCAGGCAGTCCCAGCACCCATCAAGGGCCCACGCTGGCCAGCTCCATCCTCAGCAGTGCTGTTGCCGTGCCCTGGGCCCTCAGGAGGGGCCAGTGTACCCCTTCTGGGCTCCCCAACCTCAGTCCCCCACCAGCCAGCACAAGGGGCTTGTTTCTATTTTCTTTTTTTTTTTTTTTTTTTTGAGACAGAGTCTCACTTTGTTGTCCAGGCTAGAGTGAGTGCCGTGGCGTCAGCCTAGCTCACAGCAACCTCAAACTCCTGGGCTCAAGCGATCCTCCTGCCTCAGCCTCCCGAGTAGCTGGGACTACAGGCATGCGCCACCATGCCCGGCTAATTTTTTATATATATCAGTTGGCCAATTAATTTCTTTCTATTTATAGTAGAGACGGGGTCTCGCTCTTGCTCAGGCTGGTTTTGAACTCCTGACCTTGAGCAATCCGCCCGCCTTGGCCTCCCAAGAGCTAGGATTACAGGCGTGAGCCACAGCGCCCGGCCATATTTCTATTTTCTATATTTGCTTCTCCACGAAATTTCATTGGAATATAAGGGCTTTCTAGGCCAAAACCGAAACAAACCCCACCAATTTGAAAACTACAACTCTATCAGAACATTACAGTTGTGTAGGCTGCCTTCAAGTGCCACGTGTTAAACCTTAGTGATGAGAGAAACATACTGGGAATTCAAGAAACTCAAGATTTTCCACCTCTGTCCTGCAGTTGACCCAAGGTGTTCCCACCTGCAAGTGACTAGTGGGCATCATCAAGGGGCCGGGGCCTCCTCCAGGGCCCAGCGTGTGAGCACCTGGGCAGGGTCAGATCAGAAGGGCGCTGACTGAGCCCACTGCCCCTAAGAAAAAAAACAAGAAACTAAAGACTTAAATCAGCTACAGGATGTTTGGAAATAACTGTTTTTCAGCCTTTTAATAGCAGCCTGTATGGGTTTGCTTTGTTTTATTAACCGGTAGAATCACAGCGCATGGGTTCTGCGTGGGGCAGGGGCACGCAGAGGCGAGACTGCACGCCCTTCAAGCGCAGGACAGGAGCACAGGTCTCCTGGGCTGGCGGGAACGTCCAGCAAGTCGGGGCTCTCCCGGGCGGTGGGCAGGGCGTCTGCGGGGATCGCGAGGTTTCGGTTTACCGAAAGATAACGTGGGATTTCGTAGGTTGAGAAAGGCTGTCCTAGGGCGCAGCGCGGTCTGTGCTGCCGTCCACTTCAGGCGGGCTCGGCAGGCTGGGAAGGGCTTCGCCGTCCGGCGAGCGTGGGGCCTCGCCAACGAGCTCTCCCCCGGGCTTGTCGTGCAGGTTCTGCGTGGAGCACCGACACCTCAGGAAGAACAAGCAGCTGGCTCGTTCTTCGAAACCTCACACCCCAGGTACGGGCACTGGTGCCCACGGTATTCCCGAGCATGATCTGAGGCAGGTTCCCCCGCGGCCCCCGATGCAGATGAGTCTGTGCCGGGTCCCCTCGTTCAGGGTCCAGAAGTGACACCGGCACACATGGAGATAAGCAGGTGCAGACGTGGCCCAGAGGCCTCCGTTAGCCGTGTTCCTGGTGGATCGTTTGCCTGCCCAGTCGAGGCTGGAAATTACGCCTCTGTAGACAGCACTGCCTGTCTCATAACCGCCATTCAAGAGTAATTTGGCCAACTCAGACTGTGCCGCCAGCCTGTCCCTTCCCGGGGTCTCGGCTACGCCGACCTGCACAGCTCCCAAGGCCATTGTCATCAGCCAGGCCCTGGCGCCACATACAAGCCAAAGGCTCTGCGTGATGTGCCCTGGTGAAGGGAGAGCAGCTTCCAAATGGGCTTTTTCTCCTTCCTCTGGTGAGCATAACTGAGCCACAGAGGTGTACAGCGTTAATATCATAAAGCCATGTATCATTAAGCCCTTTTAAGGAAAGACATTTAGCTAGTGTTCAGTGCATCCAATTTTATATACCTTTTTTTGAAGAACGTCATGAAAGAAATCAGAGCAAAGCTAACTTGTGCCCCTGTGCTTCCTCAATCAGATCGATGGTTCTACACTGCGGACATTGTGTTTGCAACACGGGCCTCTCATCACATTCCACCTGAATCTGACTCAAGGCAACGCCGTGGTCCGGTACAGCTCCAAGGAGGAAGCTGCCAAGGCCCAGAAGTCTCTGCACATGTATGTGTCCTTGCAGCCATCTCAGCACTGCCAAGCAGCTGCCAGTCCCCCGAGTGTTAGGTTTGGGGCTTGCATGAGTTTTCTGGGGCTGCCATAACAAAGTACCACGAGCTGGGTGCCTTAAACAACACATGTGTTTCCTCACAGTTCTGGAGGCTGTAAGTCCAAGATCCAGGTGTGGGCAGGCGTGTGGGTTCCTTCTGAGGCCTCTGTGCTTGGCGCAGACACCCACCTCCCCCCAGGTCTGCACAGGGTCGTGCCTCTGGGCATGGCTGTGTCTTAATCTCCTCTCCTTACAAGGACCCCAGTCAGATGGGATCAGGGCCCACCCCATGGTAACTTAACTACTTCTTTTAAGCTCCGTCTGCAAACACAGTCTCAGGCAGAGGCACTGGGGTCAGAACTTTCCACACGGAAGGAGCAGATCAGCTCCTGTTGGGTATCCCTGCCAGTTGGGTGTCTCCTGCTGCTGAGTTTACCGTGGCCACGCCCCTCGCTAGGGCAAGGCTCCCCAGAGAGCACGCGGGGCCAGTGGTGGAGAGAGGGCACCCTCAGCAGCCAGAGCCTAAGGAGTATGGCACGCCCCCACACAAGCCCAGCAGGGGTCCCCATGGCCAGCCCTTCCTAATGGAAGGATGCTTTTGGTACAGCGTGGAAGTAGGCCTTTTCAGAAACTGCACTTGAGATGTGGGACCTCGAACTCAGCTATTCCGCCTTTAGCTCAGGATGCAGATTAGACTGATCCTAAATGATCCTCAAGTTAGTTAATGGTGTGTTTATGAACTTGAAATGTACTCTAGCCAGGTGCAGTGGCACACACCTGTAGTCCCAGCTACTCGGGAGACGGGAGAATCACTTGAGCCCAGGAGTTCGAGGCTGCTGTGAGCTATGATCAGGCCACTGCACTCCAGCTTGGGTGACAGAGCAAGACCCCATCTCTTAAAAAAGAAAAAAAGAGAGAGAAAGAAAATGTACTTTATATGCCAGTACAACTGTTACATAATTCTAAAATGAGGAAAAAATTCATAATACGGGTCTGGAAATAGCAGTGGCAAAACAAGGCACAGGACGACTCCTGGCGGCCCTTGCCGCCCCAGAGCGCCAGTGCTGCAGACGCAGCGGGCCTGGGGTGCCACTCACGTGACCCGCCTTGCATTGCAGGTGTGTCCTGGGAAACACTACCATCCTGGCTGAGTTCGCTGGCGAAGAAGAGGTAAACCGCTTCCTAGCCCAAGGCCAAGCGCTGCCGCCCACCTCCAGCTGGCAGTCCAGCAGCGCCACCAGCCAGCCGCGGCTGGGCACCTCGGGCAGCTCCCACGGGCTGGTGCGCAGCGACGCCGGCCACTGGAGTGCCCCGTGCCTGGGTGGCAAGGGGGGCGGTGAGCTGCTGTGGGGCGGGGGGCCCCAGTACTCGAGCAGCCTGTGGGGCCCGCCCAGCGCCGACGACGGCAGGGTGATCGGCAGCCCCACCCCGCTGACCACTCTGCTGCCTGGGGACCTGCTCAGCGGGGAGTCCCTCTAGGAGCCACAGTCACCCGCACAAGGAGAGCTGGCCCTTTCCAGCCGCGGTGCCGTGGACCTGCTGGCCTGCGCGGCGGCAGCCCCTTCGAGTACCTCTGTCCAGTTCTGAAGACGGACCTTGGCCGCGGCCCTTGTGAACTGTTGGCGCAACAGTGCGGGCTGCGTTCGGTCAGTGTCACATGCTAACGACAGGATGTTCCTCATAGCTTTTTATTTTGTGTGTCTTATGTTTGTATGGTGTGTTGTCATTTTGATTTTTTAAGTATAAAAGCTGCTTAGAATAGTTCTATCATGAAGGGCACTTTTCAGATCGTGGGCTGGAAAGGGTTATTTTATCACGGGGGGAGGGAGGGAGGGGGACGTGAAGCCTATTTAAAATGAGCCTGTGACGATTATGCACATTACCAGAGGCGGCCGGTGAGCGGGGCAGAGCCTGGTGCGGCCGGCAGGCGCGGGCTCCGCGGCGGGAGTCAGCGGAAGGCGCGGTCTGCGATCTGCTCTCTGTTCGCCCGGATCCGCCTATGCACATTACCCTTGTTTCATTACTTTTTCATGTCATTTTTTTTATCCCAAAAAATATTTTTTAAAAGTTAAAAAAAAAGACATATCAAACATGCAAATACTTGAATCCAGCAGGCCAATAATGAAATGTGAACACTTTCTAAGTCTAATTCTACACTTCCAGGTTGACATCAGTACACAGAAACAGGCTCTAGGAAAATTTCTGAGTTCATCGCCTATGTGTGTGTGTGGAAACAGAACGCGTGTGTGCACGTGTGTAGTGCGTGCTTCCGCATGGCACGCACCGTCTATGTTCGTGTGTTTGAAGGCGTGTGAGGGATCTAACTGTGGGTTTCCTTTTATTCAGTATATGCTTTTCTTTGGCGCATTGGTCAAACGTTTGTTATCGTTATTAGCTTCTAACTTTGCACTGAGTGTCCCTGCCCTCCCTCCAGCTAACCCTAGATGTTAAAGAGAATTCATAGGACAGGGCCGGTGACAATTCACGTGTAAATGTTTACTCAAGGACTCTGTTACTGCGTCTAAAAATTACAGTGTATATCTCTGGAGAAATAATATGTATACCTACCTTTAGCAGCTTTTTATTGTGGACTAATGCAAGAAAGTTATTACCAGAGTATTGCACCATTTTTCCATTTGGAATATAAAGTTAAAGAGAAAAAGACTGTTGCTGAACTGTGGCCATAGATACTTGTAAAGAACGGATGGTTCCGCGGAAGGAACGAAACAAGCACTTGGATGTGGGTTGTGACTGCTTTTGGAGGAGCCCGCGGTTTGGGCTCCCACCTGTTTACAGACCTTTTTTCTCCTTCAGACTTTAAATTAAAAAAAAAAAAAAAAAATTAAAAAGGAATTTTAAAAAGAAAAAAAAATACTTCCGTCGTAAAGAAACCTATTTTCAGAATGCAGATGCGCTACTTCAGAGCTCTGGGATCGGACAGTGCTGTCCCCTCGGCCGCCGTCGTGGACTCTGTCGATTGTTTCCGCCCCTTCGTCAAGGTGACGAGGCGTTGTGGCCACTGTCTTGCACATGCCGGACGCGCTCTCAGGAAAGCCAGGGCTCCCGAGGGCAGCTCCACACCATTTCATGTATTTTTACACCCAACTCCTAGCACTGAAGATGTTATTAAAAAATAAAAAATAAAAAAAATAAAGAAAAAAAGAAAAAAGAGAAAAAAAAAACCCACAAAGACAAAAATACCTAATCTCTAATGTGTAGCAGTTACATATTTACCAAATAATGGACTCAAAAGAAATAGATGTTTGAAGAGTGCTTTATATATTAAAAATTGCTTTATGTTTTAAAAATGATCAATGTTTTGATTGTTTTGCAAGGAAGAAAGACAATGGAATAACATACCCTCAAGTATGTTTTAAAAAAAAATATATGAACATTGTGCTCCCTGCCTGCTTGATCAGGAAACTTGTGCATTACATTTTTTTTAATTAGCTTTTTAATGGTTTTATCAAAACAAAACAAAAAACAAACAAAAAAATAGTCCTGCAAGATTGCAGGTCAACAAAAGCTGGTTTTATAGAGGATCATGAACTATGCACAAACTGGGTTCAAGACTTTTCTTCTCGAGTTCAGTAGTGTATTTAGCGGAACGAACCTTCCTCAGAGTGGCTGCATCTCATTGCCATTACATATTACATGCATCTGTATATTTGATGTATGTATACCTGCATATGTATATCAAATATATGCGTGTGTGCGTGCGTGCGTGTGCACCCAGACATACAGCTCCCGTGCTGCCAGTTAGCATGGGGTTGTAGAAAATCTCCTGATGTTTTAAAATTGAGGATGGAAGTAAAGAATCTGCTTATTTTCGGATTTTGTTGGGTTTGTTTGATTTTTTTGTTGTTCTGTTTTGTTTTTTATCTTTATTTTGAATTTAAGATGTCTGTAACTCTCAGATTAAAAAACAAGTTTGTGGCTCTTAATGTTTTTCCTCATAGAATGTGATTGTTGAAGAACATGCACCGAAAGTTGCTTTCAAAAGTACAACGCTTTGTTGAATCTTAATAAATTGCAATTTTTTTCTTGGCTGTTCAAATTAATGTGTTTCACTCTTCAAAGACAGATATTATCAGTTTTCACTTTGTATGCTGAAACTGGGAAAAAGTTGTCCTGCCATACGTGTATTTCCTGTTTCCTTTTATGATGTCCTCAGTTTACATATATTACACTTAGAATTTCAGCTGTTTGACTTGTATTTTATCATGCGTTTTGTGGCTTCGCTGTCACCACTTAAATCTCACTAGTAACAGTCGAGAGGCACAACTGAGCTCCCACGCCCCACCGCAGGGCCCGTCTGCATCTGCTGCGTCCGGTCACCAGTCTTGTGCAGGACGGCAGCAGGCCGTGGCCAGGGCCTGCTCAGAGCCACGCGGAGGACCCCGCTCACCTGTACCCAGGACCCAGCTTGGACGTCGAAATATTTGGAGAGAAGAAAGTAATGAAGGTCTTTTGTGACTCAAAGACATTTATCCACTTACTCTCGTGAAATCTCCTTAGCCAACTTGCACAGAGCACTTTGTACAAGCGCAGCTCCCGGTGCCGGGCGGAGCAGCACCATCCTCGCCGCGGCGGCGTTTCGGGCGGCAGAAGTCAAAGCTCTTGGGTTTGTTTTCTCAGGTCCATTCCTGGGACACTCGCCGAGACCCTAAATACGCCCGGTGTCACTGCCTCTGGCTCAGCAGTGTAGTCTCTTGAAGGCAGAGGCCCGCGGGGACCCCTCACTCAGAGACTGACAGGATGAGCGTCTTTCTGCCCCCACGGCTTGGGGCGGGGTCAAAGGTCGACAGACCTGCCTCCTGCGTGTCTGTCCCACGTATGGAGAGGACGGAACCACCACCACCCCGAGCTACAGCTGGCCCCGCAGGGAAGGCAGGGAGCTGCTGGCTCGGACCAGCCTCTCTCGGAAATCGAGAAGGACAGCACTGAGCGGGTCCTGACGGGAAGAAATTAAACGCTAGAGCAAGAATGAAACTGGGGAGATAGGACGGTCAGAATGCTCCTGCCGCTCTCGACTAGCGCAGACCTGGAGGCAGCTCTCAGCTCTGCATGCCAGCCCCTCGGCGGTCTTTCTTTCGTGCCTGACGCGCCCGGCCTCTGCACCAGCGCCTCTGCCCCGCCCGGGAGAACCAGGTCAGCACCTTGAGGACGTCCAGAGGATGCAGCAGTCTTCCTGGAGGAGGTGGCATTTGCCCCGGGCCCGAGAGGCTGAATCAGGCTTTGACAGACCGGTGGGCTCCGGGGACGGGCAGGAAGCACGGCCTAAGCCAGGACCCCACGTGACTCGCCCAGTGCGGGTCGGGCTGTTCCTGGTGCGAAAAGACTTGCTGTCTGGAATCTAGAACACCCCAGGTACGGAGCTTCCCTCTGTGTTTGAACTGTTCCGGCAACACCGTGGAAACATGGTGCCCAGCGGGTGGCAGCATGGTGCGCAGAGAAGGCCGCGGGGACAAAGGAGGAGAAGCTGCCAGAAGCAGGCGTGTCTGGCAAGCCTGGCTCCAGTGACGGAGAAAGGAGGCAGGTGTGACAGTGGGAAGGGAAGCGGAGACGGGAGCAGCGCCTGGACAGAGCACGGAGGCCTGAGCAGGACGGCGAGGGCAGCAGCTGGTTGCCTCGCTTTGCACGTCAGAGTTCCCGAGGATGCCCGCTGACCGCCTTCCTCACATGGGCCCGGCCCCGCCCGAGTGTGGCTCCCGTCTCGCGAAAACCAGGCGCGCCTGTCCAAACGCCGCCTGGCGCCTCTGCCTAAGTGTGCGTGTTGGGACGGTCCAGTGAGACATGGGCCCCAGAGCAGAGGTTCGCAACCTTGGCCCATGTTAGAATTATCTGGAAATTTTTTAAATCCCAGTGCCAGCCACATGCAAACCAACTGGGAATCGCTGGGTGCGAACCCTGGGCAGCCGTGTTTCTAAAACCTCCCCAGTGGGTTCCAGTGTGCAGCCGAGACTGAGGAGCAGTGGCACAGAAGGAGCCTTGTCACTCAGCCTGAAATGTCATTGTCAACGGTCCACTCAGACAGCAACTGGCAACTTCCAAGTCTTAAGTTGGTTCATTGGGCAACTATAACTAGCTTTTTTTTTTTTTTGCTTTTTTTTTGGTAGCAAAAATAATGTCCTTTACTTCTAATCAATTGATACATGTACAGCACGCCTTCGGAGGAACACCTGGGTTCGTGTTTGAATCACTGGCTGCTACCGCCTGACCCGGTGCACACACATGGTGATTCTACAGAAATGTCCTGGGCAGGTTCTTCGCCTTCCCTGTGGTAGGTAAGCTGCTTGTCCCGCCTTCCTATAGAGGAGTTGTGAGGCCTGTCACATGGGTGCACCAAATCACGACTGCTGACAGTGCTGAGTCAAGTGGTCCCCAACCTTTTTTGACACCAGCGACCGGGTTCCTAGAAGATAGTTTTCCATGGACAGGGGCAGGGCAGCACGTCGTGGGCTTGGCTCCCCCTCGGGTCATCGGGCCTTGGACTCACGGGGAGCGCCACCTTGATCCCTCGCATGCGCGATTTGCAGTGGGGTTCGTGCTCCTGCTGAGGCTGATGCCACTGCTGATCTGACAGGGTGGGGTTCGGGCGGTGATGCGAGCAATGGGGAGCAGGCGGGGTTCACTTGCTTCCTGCTGTGTGGCCAGGACGAGGGGCCACCGCAGGTTAAAGGATGGCGTCCGGATGGATTTGGCCCAGAGACCCCAGTCTCACCCAGCAGCACTCGTGCCTAGAAATGCAGCCAAAATTCGCCGCCCGGGGTCAGTGCAGGCTGCTTGCAGAGGTCCCTAAGCAACACCTGGCTTGCTGGCATCTGCCCCCAGGTGTCTGCAGAGCACAGGAGCATCCCACTGGGACTGTCCTCGGGAAGGGATAGTATTGGGTGAGAACAGGCACAGCTTAGGTGACTGTCTTCCAAATTCCACTCTAGGATGCTGAGTGCTGGCCCGTCTCCACTCTGACCCTGTTTCCCCACCCAGGGCCCAGCCCCTGCAGACATCAGACAAGGGCTGTGAGCAACTGGCTAGGTCCCACTCCCCACAGGCTCCTCAAACTCAGCCTGGCTGGCCGGACCCAGGGTCACCACCCTCCCAGCCAGCCAGGAGCAGGGGCCCTGCCCCACCAGGCCTGGCTGCCCCTTTGCCTAGGAGACACCTCTCCCTACCCCCCACCACGGCTCACTTGCAACTAAAAGGTCATCAACCCCTCCCCAGCGTGCTCCCTAATTTTGCCTCCCTCCTCCTGCCCTAATAATAATTGCAAAGGCATCACCCACAGGTTGACTTACTGCTCTGGACACAGCCTGTGCCTGCCTGGCTCGCCCATGTGATGGAAGCCCCTCCGGGCACAGGTCAGGCCAACCAAGGGCAGCGTCTGGGGCGGGTGGCGCAGGGTTCCAGCCCCTGCCAGCTGGGGCTTGGCCAGCAGAGGGCGCCCTGGCCCAGCTGAGCTCCCCACAACCAAGACCAGCCCCGGAGGTGGCCCTGGTGGCGGCAGGAGGAAGGATGTGGGCGTGGCACCCACCAGCACCTACCCACACCAGGGCAGGCCCAAGTCAACAGCAGAGTCCCAAGGGACAAGCCCACTTTGCAAAATCCATTTAATCAGAATAAATAGAGTGGGGCAGGGTGGGGTCCTCTGCCCCCGCTTTCCAAAGGGGAAGCAGAGTCACTTCGCCATCCCGGTGTCCTAGCAACGTCACTGAGGAGCCAGTGTGGTCTCATGTTGGAGTCCGAGCCATGGGACAAAGGGTGACCCAGGGCGCTGGGTGAGCCTGCTCAGCCTGTTGCTGTCCCACCAGGTGTCCCCTTCTTCTGCGAGCAGGGCAGGGGGGTCGCAGCCTCCTGGGTTCTACCAGCCCTGCCAGTAGGGGCGTCAGCAAGGGGCCCAACAGACCAGGCTGGGCCAGCAAGGGACAGGCCAACACCCAACAGCTTCCAAAGAAGAGTCTAGAAAGCTCCAGGCAGGCCAGGCGAAGGCTGGGAGACACTGCAAGGACCCTCCTCTGAGGTCTTTAACGTGGGGGTGCTGGGCCTCGTGAAATTGCCTCTTCTGGGGTCAAAGGTGGTGGGTTCCAGCAATTTCACACCGTGTAACCCAGTGGCTGCCGTCACAGGCGAGGGCCAAGGAGTGCCCCACACACCCCAGCAACGGGGCCTGGGCTGCCAGTCCCTCCTCCACAGGGGAGAACTGAGGCAGGGCCCTGCAGTCTCCTGAGGCCGAGGATGAGGCCTCGTGCCTGACCTTGGGGTCCCCCGAGGCGAGCTCAGAGCCAGCATGTTTGCTCCGTGGGTTTTACTCGGAAAGGCTCCCAAACGCGGGACACGCACACAGACAGCCACTGTTCGGCCAGGGCGAGGGCCAGCCTGGGAGCTCCCCGAGGGGCCAGCCTCAGCCCGCTGCCCACCAGGCCAGGGGTCCAGAAAGGGAAAGAAACAGCCCTGGGGCTGGGATGCGTGTGCGTGCACCTGTTCACGGGTCTGCCTGTCCACCCCGAGGCCAGAGGCTGTCACATCACCCACCCTCCTGTAGTCAGGGTCCCTGCAAAGATGGCCGGCCTCGGTGGCCCCTCCCGCGACAAGAATGCTTTTGGATTTCACAGGTATCTGCGTCCCGGCCATCTCCCTTTCCCTAGGTCCAACCACAGGCCCCGGACGTCTGCCCCAGTGACAGCCACTGACCCCACGGGGAGGAGGCCCGGCCAGGCTGGCACCAAGCGACTTACAGGGGTGGCACAGGGCGCTGAGGGCAGGTCTTGCATTTCCATTTCCTCCCTCGCCAAACTTAGCTCTCCTCCTTGCCCGAGCGCCCCGCACACCTGAGGAGGAAGCACAGGGAAGGGCCTCAGCGACTCGGCCACATGGCTGCCCCCCGACCCCTGGGAGGAGGGTGGTCCTATCCCCTCCCGGCTCACAGTGGCCCCGAGCCTCCCATGGCCCCTCACCTGCTCCGCTGCCCTCTCTCCTTCCTCTCGTAGACGGAATGGAGCTTGTTGATTAAGAAGATTTTGTCCTCCCCCTCCTAGAAAGGCCAGAACACAAGGGGAAGAGAACAGTTTTCCATCCATCGATCCGTCCAGAGCCCCCCTGTTCCAGGGCTCATTTGTGGGGGGAACTTATGAGACGTATTTGACATCACAAGAAGCAAAAAGCTAAAAGAGGTGAAAGAGGCACCAAAACAAGGTTAAGGAAAATCCAAGAGCCAGGAGGTGGGCGTTTTTGTGGGTCTGAGCGTCACGGAGGCTAAGGTGAAGAGGGAAATGTGATCAGCTGCACATGACGGCCCCGAGCCAGCCTGACTCGATTTAACCTGGCCACCTACTAACTCTGCCTTGCACGAATTCCCTGCGCTCTGACCTCAGTGTCACCATCTGTAAAAGGGGAATAATAATGCAAGTCACAGGGCTTACATTTCCTATTGCTGTTGTATCAAATTACCACAGATTTTATAACTTAACACAAATGTATCATCTTCCAGTTCTGGAGATGAGAAGCTCAAAATGAGTCCCACTGTGCTACAATCGTGGCGTCGGCAGGGCTGGTTCGGGTCTAGGGGACAAGCCCGATGCCAGCTTCTAGAGCCCTCCCCCCCCATGCCATGGCTCTCAGCCCCCTCCTCCGCTCCAAAGCCTGCAAGGGCCGGTCGAGTCTCTCACGTGGCATCATCTGACCCGACCTTCCTGCCTCCCTTTTTCACCTGTAAAAACCCGGAGATTACACGGGGCCACCCAGATAATCTAGGATAATCTCCCATCTCAAGGTCAGCTGATGAGCAACTGTAATTCCACCTGCAACCTTCACTCGCCGACCACGTAACGCGGCACATTCCCAGGTTCCTGTCTTGGGGCATGCATAGCTTTGGGGCCGGTACCGGGCTGACCCAGGGTCTTTGGACAGTGAAAAATGAAAAGCTTATGAAGCATTTAGCAGGGGACCTGGCGCACATAAACACCAAACGGCTACTCAGATCAGCCTGGAGCCAGCAGGGCGGTTCTGGCGCCTGGTAACCAGGCTCCTCCCAGGATGCCACTTAGACACCTGCAGGGGGAACCCTTGGGGCCCCTAAGCCACACCCCCAAGCCATTTCTGTTGTGCAGTTGGCGAGTTTGGAGGGTGTGGCCCTTGAGTTCAGCTGCCCTGACCAGGCCCCAGGGAGGCTCAGTCCACCGGCCCCAAAGACTCGGGCCGGGCCACCACAGCAGGGATGGCCCTGGGTACACGCCGCAGCCAGCACCCACCTGGGGAACGGCCCTTCCGATCCCACAGAAAGGGCGAGCGGAGCCAGGATTCTCCCTAAGGCTCCTCTGCGCCCCCCACCCCAGCCCACCCGGCACCCCTAGGCTCTGAAGCACCACACAGTAGGGCAGGAGACACTGAGCCAAAAACCTGCTTCTGACAGCTATGGCCAGGCGACCACCGAGACAGCACACAGGCTTCCAGCTCCACGTCCTGGGAGCCCACCGAGATTCACAGGCTGGGCCACAGAAAGGGCAGAAGACGGGCAGCGTGTGCCGCACCATCACGGCCCCGGCAAAGTGGGAGCTGCCCCTGCGAGCATTTCTGCTCAGGACCGGCCGCCCGAGCCCTTGCTCCTGCCACCTGCCAGCCGGCGCAGGGACACCTGTCTGCTGAGAGGCTGCGCCCGCTGTGACTGCCGGGTCCTCACCTTGGCAGACACCTAGCGCGGACCCCACACCCCCCCACACGCCTGGGGACACAGGCACCCAGGGGCCCCGAAGTGGAAAAGTGCAGGAGGAAAAGACAAATAGCAACAGGGAGAGTGACGTCGGGGCACTGCGGGAGCTCAGAGCCGAGTGGCCGCCCACACCGAGCACGGCTGGCCATGCCCAGGGAGGCGAGAGGCCAGCCTGGGAGACCCAGACGGGAAATGCCTTGTTTCCAAGGTGGGCCGCCTGGGGGGCAAGCAGTGCCCCTCGGGCGGAGAACGTGGCTGCCCTGGAGAGGAGGGGGTACTCCTGAGCACTGTCCCCTCCCGCAGCTCAGTCCTGTGACAAACCATGGGGTCGCATGAAATGCGTTCCTTTGTTCTTTTTTGAGACGGAGTCTCACCTTGTTGCCTGGCTAGAATGCCGTGGCGTCAGCCTAGCTCACAGTAACCTCGACTCCTGGGCTCAAGCAATCCTCCCGAGTAGCTAGGACTACAGGCATGTGCCACCATGCCCCACTAATTTTTTCTATATATAATAGTTGGCCAATTAATTTCTTTCTATTTATAGCAGAGACGGGGTCTCGCGCTTGCTCAGGCTGGTCTTGAACTCCTGAGCTCAAAGGATCTGCCCGCCTCGGCCTCCCAGAGTGCTACAATTACAGGCGAGAGCCACCGCGCCCGGCCTCTTTTGTTCTCTTAATAAACATGTTTGCCAGGTGTGGTGGCACACACCTGTAGTCCCAGCTACTCAGGTGGGAGGCTCAGGCAGTAGGATCGTGAGTTTGAGCCCAGCCTGGGCAATATAGCAAGACCCCATCTCGAAAAAAGCGCAGGACGGATTTGATCCACGCCACTCATTCGGCAAACGACCCTTTCAACAGCCGAGGCCACAGAGAGCGTGTGGGGGCTGGGCATGGGCCAGCAGGTGAGTGGAGGAGGCGGCGCCCAGGTGTGTCCCCACAGGGGGCAGGGGGCACTCACGTGGCTGATCTGCTCCTTGAGCAGGCAGATGACCTTGCGCTGGCCCCTCACCACCTGGATGTTGAAGTAGATCACAGCCCTGCGGGAGACGGGTGTCAGGCAGGGCAGGGCCAGCGGGGACCCCCGCCCCCCAGGCCTGGACTCACAGCAGCAGGGCCGACAGCAGGAAGATGACGAAGGTGTTTTCCACCAGGTGCCGGTGCAGCCAGGGCAGCCAGGAGAGCCGGGGCCCCGCCGCCTCCAGGTGGCGCACCCACGCCGTGCCCGCCCCGTACATGGTGTCCAGGCTCCGGAAGGGGCCGCACACGCTCGAGGGCTTCACCCTGGGGACGAGGGTGAGCGCACCCCTCAGCCTGCGCGGCGGCCCCCGGCTCCCCCCAGCCGCCCCGCTCCAGCCCCGGCCCCGCACGGGCTCCCGCACCCGCCTGGATGGCGGGGAGCCCCGGGCTCCCCCACCCGCCGCCCCGGACTCACTGCCAGACGGCGTAGCAGAGGAAGACGGCGGCGCCCAGGAAGGCCGGGAAGCACAGCAGCGAGAGGAACACGGTGCTCATGTGCGAGGCCAGCCAGGGCCTGCGCGGCGCCTGGCAGTTGGCCAGGAGGCTCGTCTGGGGGACCAAGGCTGCGCTCTAACACTGCCCAGCACCCCACGCCCCCAGCCTGGCGGGCCCCAGCTGAGAGCCCCCACCCCACGGTGCCTGGGGGTTCACAGGGCAGACAGGCACACGGGGGGACTTGCCCGGGGACGCTGGCACAGGAAGGGCCGACTGACAGCTGCACTGACCACGTCGCACCCAGCCCCCGCTCAGTGTGCTCCCTCGGTCCCCTCTAGAACAGCCCCCGCGGCACAGCGGGGACATACAGGACCAGAAGGCAGAGGAGCTGCCCAGAGCCAGGGCACACCCAGGCTCACGTCCCGCAGCACCTGGCCCTAAGCGCCCACCCAGTGCACAGGCACCTGGTCGTGGCCTGTGAGCCCAGCGGCTGCTGCCCGGACTGCCAGAGACAGGGGAGGGCCCAGCCCGTCCCTGCAGGCCGAGGGACAGACCCGAGGGCGGCCCGGGACGCCAGCCGCAGGCCACTCGGGAGACAGAGGGCTCCAAAGTCCCGGGTCTGCCCAGCCGAGTCTTGGGCCGCCCGCCAGGCCCAGCCCGGCAGCAGCAGCGTTACCTTCTTGACGTGGAAGAGGAGCAGCAGCTTCAGGATCTGCACGGCGGGGAGGAGGGGCGAGAAGAGGACCCCCAGCCTGGGGAGGGAGGGCGCTGCGCTCAGAGGCTGGGGCACGACCCTGGCGGCTCCCCAGGGCAGGGCTGGGACAGGCTGCCTCGGTGCCCTACCCTCCCTGAGACCACGGGGAGGGCAAGCGGGGGTGGCCGCGGACGGGGCCGGCCACAGCCCTGCAGAGTCCCAATCTGGCCTTGCCGTGGCCCCGGGAGGAGGCAGGTGCAGGGTCCCCAGGGGCCACCAACTGAGGGGCTCAGCCCTCCTCAGGGGCCAGGCAGGAGGCAAGTGGAAAGGGGCTCACCAGGTCAGAGTCTGCCCGTAAATCAGCTCCAGAACATTCCGGGCGATGTCAAACTCAGGCTTCCGCCTCGTCTTTGTTGTCTTCTCAGAGATAACCCTGGGCGGAGGGACAGCCCCGAGGCTCAGACCGGAGGACCTAGCCTGGGGAGACCAGCCCTGCTCCCCACCCCTGCAAGGTGCGCCCGGGCCTGGGGACACCCACACACCGAGCTGACATCCCGACCCTTCCCTCAGGGTGCCCAGCGAGCGTCAGGGAGAGAGGGCAGCCTGGTCCCCACCCCAGGGGCTCGACGCAGCGGCCGCCGCCCCTCGGGCGCGTTTCTCGGCGGGTCCAGACACCCGGCTCCAAACACGCTGGATCAGCATCGAACATCTCGCTGGATGTTCAGGCCGGGCGCGGGGGCTCCCGCCTGTGATCCCAGCACTCTGGGAGGCCGAGGCGGGAGGAGCGCTCAAGCTCAGGAGTTCGAGACCAGCCTGACCAAGAGCAAGACCCCCGTCTCTACTATAAAATAGAAACAAATTAGCTAGACAACTAAAAATATATAGAAAAAATTAGCCGGGCATGGTGGTGCCTGCCCGTAGTCCCAGCTACTCGGGAGGCTGAGGCAGGAGGATCACTTAAGCCCAGGAGTTGGAGGCTGCAGTGAGCTATGATGACACCACGGCACTCCAGCCAGGGGTGACAGAGACAGACTCTGTCTCAAAAAAAAAAAAGTTTACTGTAAATTCTTAAAATCTTGCTTTTTTATTATCATTGAATTCATATATTCTTTTTAAATTCATTTTTCTATTGAATTGTTTAATTTTCTTTGATTCTTACCAACAACAATGAGCTTGGACAAATTCACCTATTCTTGAAGAAAACACAAAAAGAAGGAATAAAAAAACACCTGAAGTGCTAGAACCCACACGGGCTACCAGAACATTCCGAATGTGCCCCTCCCTTTGTCTGCAGGACGGAGAGTCCCAGGCACACATGGCTTCCGCCCCCTTTCCTTTCCGATCTAAAAGGGCGTGAGGGCCGGGCAAGGTGGCTCACGCCTGTAATCCTAGCACTCTGGGAGGCCGAGGCGGGCAGATTGCTCAAGGTCAGGAGTTCAAAACCAGCCTGAGAACGGCCCGTCTCTACACAATAAAAATAGAAAGAAATTAATTGGCCAACTAATATATATAAATATAAAATCAGCTGGGATGGTGGCTCGTGCCTGTAGTCCCAGCTACTCAGGAGGCTGAGGCAGGAGGATCGTTTGAGCCCAGAGTTTGAGGTTGCTGTGAGTATAGGACGCCCCCACGGCACTCACTCTAGCCTAGGCAAGAAAGCGAGACTGTCTCAAAAAAAAATAAAATAAAATAAAAAAATAAAAGGGCGTGAGGCCGCGTTCTCGGTCTAGCGACCTTTTCCCAGAGAGCCACCGTGGGCGCCAGCACAGGCCCCGACACGTGAGGTCAGGCCAGAGAACCTTGCAAGCCCCCCCCCTCCCGCCCCCTCCCCATCCCCTCCCGGCCCGGGTGGGGAGCCCGGCAGCCCAGGGCAGGGGCGCTCACCGCCACACCAGCTCCCCGAAGAGCGTGTCCAGCAGCACGAAGAGCAAGTCCAGCACCACGAAGCGGTACAGCTCCTGGCCCACAACGTCCTCCCAGCACTGGTCCTGCAGGGCGCCCACCCTGCGGCCCAGCCAGTGGTAGCAGAGCACCCCTAGGGTGGCCATCTTGAGGATGAGGTTCCTGCGGAGGGCGGGGCGCGGAGGCTGAGGAGGGTGGGGGGGGGACGGGAGACGCACTCCAGGGCCCACCCTCCAGGCCACTCACCTGCCAATGGCCACGTACACCTCCAGCACCGGGGAGTCGTGGGGCTCCAGGGCGGCCAGGCCGCGGTACAGGTAGGGGGCCCCCAGGTTGAGCAGGCAGACCACCAGGGGCAGCGCCAGCAGGGCCACCTCCTGGCCAGCAGCCACCGGGCCCTGCCAGGGCAGCAGAGGAGGGGAGGGTCACCACGGGTGCCCCTCGATGGGCAGGGGCAGCTGGGAGAGGGGGCGGGGGAGGGTCAGACCAGGCAGGCAGCCCCTCCCCCCCGACCCAGCCCACCCCTCGCCCTCCGCTCACGCTGCACAGAAGTGGGGGGCACAGCTGGCGGGAAAGGAAAGAGAAACCAAGAAGACAGAAAAGTGGGGGAGGGTGGGAGACAGGACGAGGGGTGAGTCAAAGCAGGGGCCAGGAGGCAGCCCCAGCACGGTGGGTGGGCACATGGGACCCTGTGGCCAGGATGGAGTCAGGGCACGGACACCCCCGGGGACAGGCGCCCAGAGCCGCAAAGGCCAGGCTCCCCCGCTGCGGGCACCTGGAGCATGAGCTCTGAGAAGGCGTGGACGGCCGCGGCGCAGCCCAGCACGGTCGCCAGACACAGCAGCCACACGAGCCCCAGCACGGCCACCTGCCGCAGCCTCCCGCACACGCTCCGGGCGCGCTGCCGCAGCTGCCACTCGGCCAGCAGCTCCTGCAGGGGACAGTGTGTTCCTGTCACCTGCTCCAGGGCACAGGCGGACACACCAGCAGGCGTGAGGGGAATGGGGTCGAGGGTGGAGGAGCAGCTGCCCGACAGCCCCGCCCGCCCTGGGCCCTCCCTGCGGGCCAGGAGGACACGGGACCCAGCCGGCCGCCCCAGCCCGGCCCCAGGAAGCCTGCAGAGCTGCCCTGCTGCCTGTCTTTTCCCTGTTCCCTGTGGATGTGGGGGGCCCCCAGTGACCAGGAGACTCCTAGGTGTGGAGGGCACCTGCCCCCAACGCGAGCCCCCCAAGGACGGTGGGACAGTGGCCCGGCTCATGGGCCGTAGCTCTGAGTCAGCACAAGAAACTCCAGGAAGGCAGAGAACCTTCCACGAGGCCCAGCTCTGCTGCCTCCTGGCCCCATGCGTGACCCCTGACAACGGACGTAATCTCTGTGCCTCAGTTTCCTCACTGTAGCATAGGGAAGATAACAGTTCTTAGCCACTGGGCTCCCGTGGCCATCAGCTGAGCTGACGCCAGACAGGAGCACGTGCCACCTGGAGCCCGGGCCTCAGGGCAGGACGCGCTGGCTCCCAGGAGGGGCCATGCAAGCAGGCCAAGCTCCCCGGCGGGGGCTTTGACCCCAGGGTCCCCAGCCGGAGCACATATACCCACTGAAACCCGCCAGGTGCAGCTTCTGTGACGCTGGCTCCTGCCTGGCTGTTCATGGGGCTGTGGCGCTAACACCCGCCAGCAGACAACAGCGGCAGCCCCTAACCGAGAGGCGTGTGCAGGAAGAAAAATGGGGGCCCACCTTGGCCCTGTTAGCAGAAGACCCCAGTGCCCCGAGGTCAGCTCACACACAGACAGCTCCGGACCACAGTCTGGCCATTTGGTCTGGGGCCACCGCTGTGGGGTTCCAGGGCGGGGTTGGGGGACAGCGGGCACAGCCCCGGGTCCCCTCAGGTGCTCACCTTCAGCCGGGTGCGGATGTTGTCCTGCTGGAGGCGCGAGGCCCGCTTCTGAGTCACCTTGTAGTCCCAGGAGCAGAAGACGGTGATGGCGTGGACGCCAGAGGTGCTGCCCACCCGGTAGCTCTCCCCGAAAGCGTGGGCCATGCTGGGAGCAGGGACAGGTGCGGGTTGGATGAGGGGCACGGAGGCCAGCGGGAGAAGGCAGACGGGACGCCCTGCGGCTGAAACCCCCCACCCACTCAGGAGCCCTCCAAGAGCAGGATGCGCCCCACCGCTGGGCCAGCCTCCTGGTGGAGACCGCCAGCCACTCGAGACCAGCCCTGTCCAATACAGTGCCCACCAGCCCCAAGCGCCGAGGAGGGGGGCAGGGCTGCCCCACCGAGACAAGGTACAGAGGACTCTGGGCTCACCTCAGGGCCTTTGCCCCGCCCATCACAATGTCCAAAATACCCTCCTTCTTCTTTCCTGCCCATTTTTTTTTCTTTTTTTTTTTTTTTTGAGACAGAGTCTCACTTTGTTGCCCAGGCTAAGTGAGTCCGTGGCGTACAGCCTCGCTCACAGCAACCTCAATCTCCTGGGCTCAAGTGATCCTCCTGCCTCAGGCCTTTCCCGAGTAGCTGGGGAACTACAGGCAGTGTTGGCCACCATGGCCCGGCTAATTTTTTTCTATATTATATCAGGTTGGCCAATTAATTTCTTTCTATTTAATAGAGACGGGTCTCGCCTCGTTGCTCAGGCTGGTTCGAACTCCTGCACCTTCAGCAATTTTCCGCCCGCCGTAGGCCTCCCAGAGAGCTAGGATTACAGGAGTGAGCCACCGCACCGGCCTTTCCTGCCCATTCTTACTTAATCTCTCGATATAGGGGCAAGTGCCACCTCCCCTGGCATGCCAGCCTGACTCCTTGCCCAGTGTTCCCCTAACACTTGGGCAAACACCTCCAGGGCTCCTGGATTGTCCCAGCCCATTCATTGGTCTATCTTCTTCCAGGGACAGTAAGCTCCTCTAGGGCAGGCACCATGCTCAATTTAGCTTCCTGCCCTGAGCTGAGCACAGGGAACGTGTGTGGGATGGGTGGGTGGGTAGATAGATGGATGAATGGGTAGATGAGTGCATGAATAGATGGATGAGCAGATGGATGGATGGATGAGTGGATAGATAGGTGGATGGATAGATGGATGGAAAAGTGGATGGATGGATGAGTGGATGGATAGGAGGATGGATGGATGAGTGGGTGAGTGGATAGATGAATGGACAGGTGGATGGATGGATGAGTTGGTGAGTGGGTGGGTGCATAGATGGATAGAAGGAAGGAAGGATCAATGGATGAGTCAAAGGATGGATGGCTGGATGCATCAACGGTGCCCAGAGCAGCTTCATAAGGTCAAGGACCATTACCTGTACACCAGGGTGATGCAGGTGATGAAGAAGGCCACCCCCACAGTGAAGAGGTAGGCCAGGGGCATATTGTAGGGCAGGCCGCCTGCCCTGGGTCTGCACTGGCCACCCTGCAGGGGGTGGCCACATGGCTGGTTCAGCGTGGCATTGGTGTAGTAGCCGTAGTACATGACGGTGTGGGTGAAGCAGCCCTGTGGGGGACGCCGGCTGAGTTAGGGACTCTCCCCACCCCGCCTCCCCCGACCCACCTTCACGTCTCCAGAGGCAGAGGGAGCCCAGCCCTGGGGAAGGGCCCGGGTGGGGGCAGCAAGGAAACTCATGGGCCAAAGGCCGCCGCAATCCTGGGCCTCCCCAGCCCCACGGGAACCGGGGCACAGTGGACACCAAGGAGCAGCTGACAGGGAGGTGGGGAGCTGGCTGTGGCCACCCAGAGTGACAACATGGGGTGGGGACAGGGACAGGGTCCACAGGAAAGCTGGGACAAGACGGGGAGGCAGTGCCGAGGCAGCAGCCGAAGACGGGTGCCCCTGCCTGGCCCAGACGTCCAGGCTGGTGCGGGCTCTCACCGCGCCCGTGAGGAGCTCCAGGCCCGTGCAGCCGGGGCCGGGGCCGGGGCTGGGGTCCGGCGGGAAGGCAGCCTGCACGCCCACCACAAAGGCCAGCAGCGGCAGCAGCAGCAGGGCGTTGAAGGCCACCAGGGTCTTGAGGAAGAGGAAGTAGGAGAGCACGCTGGATCCGAACTGGCCCCCGATGCGCTTGAGGGCGTAGCGCCAGGGCGTCAGGGCGTGCAGGCCTGAGAGCAGCGCGAGCCCCAGGCTGTGCAAGGCCTGTGGGGACGGCAGTGGGAGGCCTGAGGGCCAGGCCGGAGGGAGCCCCGCCTGCCCCACGCCCAGGGCCCAGGCACCCAGCAGAGGGAGGACAGGACCCCGGACAGGCCACTCACAGGCCCAGAGCAAAACAGGGGCTGGGAGACCCCCGGGCGCAGGACAGCGGCAGGAGACAGGGCGGCCGCCCCTCCCGCCAGCCCGGCGCAGGAGCCCCTACCAGGACGCAGGCGTCCCCGAGCCGGCTGCAGCAGGAGAGGAGCCCACCACGGCCAGGCTGGCCCCTCCGCTTCCCGCGGGGGCTCTGGCTCTTCTCTCTGGGGACAGAGGCAGCCGCGGGGGCCTGGGCTCAGGAGGGGCCTGACTGCCCCCGGGGACCACCCACCCACCTCCGCCTGACCACCCGGCCCAGGCAAGGACGTGGGTCTCGGGGCCGCATGTGCGGGCGGGCACTCACCGCAGGCTGCGTTTCTCCGCCAGGCTCAAGGGCATCCCGCGGAGCATGTGGTCGCGGTGGGCGGCTGACAGGCCCTGAAGCTCCTTCACCAGGAGGTTCCTCTTCTCTGCGGAGAGGAACGAGCAGGCCCTGCCCATCCCGCAGCAGCCGCCCACCTGCCACGGACGCGACCTGGACAAGCCTGTCTGCCCCGCGGCACCCTCCCAGCATGGGCCTCTGGCCACCCTCCCACCAGGCCGGCCTAGTGGCCCGAGTGGCCCCCTCTGCCCGTACAGCTGAAGCCAGACCCGGGCCAGCAGTCAGGGCGTCCCAGGCCTGCCACAAAGCTCACTCCGGACTCCCCGCCAGCCTGGCCACCCTCACTCTCCCACCCCCGCCCCCTGGAGCCCAGCAGTCCCGTCCCCCTCCCCCACCAGGTCCCCAGCATCTGCCCCCCACTCCCCGGCAAGGCTCACCCTCAAGGGGCGAGTGGCGGAGGGCGGACTGGCCCGGGTCCTCCCTGCCCCGACGCTGGGCTGTCCCCACCCCCACCCCGTTTCTCTCTGGAGGCCCAGCCAGGGTCCCCTGGGGCCTCGACATTAAGTTCCAGGACCCAGAGGAGTTTTTCCCTCCTCTAACGGGTCAACACCACAGCGTGGGCCTGGAAGGGTGGCTACGGGCCTCCTCGCACCTCCGCGCCCAGCCAGGTGGGTGCTACTTTAACCCCAATTTCACAGATAGGAAATGACACTTGGCCCGGGTTGCAGAGTAAGCAGTGACCTGACCCCGAGCCCACAGCACCCTGCCCTGCTCCATCACCCCCCAGCTGGGGCAGGGCCCCTGGAAAGTGCCCAAGGCCTGGGGAGGCAGAGCCCCCAGAAAGGGACCAGGCAGAAGGGACAGCGTCGGGGACCTCCTCAAGCTCCTCAGCTGGTTGAGGACCAGCCTGTGAGAATGGTCCCCGCTCCCCCTAGTCCCTCCACACTGGCCTCAGCACCTTTGCACACGCTCTCTGCCCTAGCGCTGCCTCCTCCAGGAAGCCTCCCTGCACCCCTCTAGGCTGGGCTGGTTTCTGCACTGAGCTTCTCTCTTCTCTGCGCTTTACCCGTGCGCTTATCCATTTCTTTGGTCCTCGTCTGTCTCACGGGGCAGGCGGTTAGCCGCCCGGGAGCGGAAGGCCTGGTTTCCACCGCCGCGTCCCCGAAGCCTGGCCCCGAGGCCACAACCCTCCACGAGCTCGAAGGACGTTTGTGGCGTGCACTGAATGCCTGCCTGCCGTGGGGCCAGCCCCTTGCAGCCTGAAAGTGCCCCACTCCCCTGCCCTCCGAGGTCCCGGCAGCTGGCGTCTGCCTGGGCCGGGCAGGCTCACTCACCCTCCTCCTTCTGGGCCGCGGGGTCCAGCTCAAGGTCGTAGAGGCGGATGCTGGGTCGGGCTGAGCGTGTCACCACGTCCCCAAGCAGGGGCCGGCCGCTCCTGCGCCGCAGCTGCATGGTGCGGTTGTAGTACTGGGAGATGATGGCGCCACGGCTGCGGCCTATGGAAGCAGCTGGGCAGGGCTGGGCCGGCCAGGCCGGACCCTGAGCCCCTCCCGGGACGGCCCTTGCACCGGGCCTCGCCATCCCTCACCCCTTCCCAGGACCCAGGAAAATCCCTGCACCAGAGACCTTGGGCGCCGCTGGGCTCCCAAGAACCTATTTTTATCCCCGGGATGACTCGAGTCATTTTTAGAACCCAGCGAGGGCTGCATGGGGCCGTGTGGGGCCTCCACTCAGCAGTCGGGGTGGCCCAGGAGCCCACATGGCTGAAAACCCCTGCCCGGCCCATGGGCTGGGGTCAATGTCGGGGCCAAGGGCAGAGGGTCCCACTCACCAATCGTGCGACTGGGCATGCTGGCCAAGATGCGCAGTGTGGCCGCGCTGTGGACCGGGCCACCTTCGGGCCCCAGGAGGGTCTCGTGGCCACTGCCTACCAAGTAAGAAAGACTTGGCTGGAGGTCCTGGAGGTGCCCTTGGCTGGTCTCTCCCACCCTACCCCCACCGCAGGCCTGCAGACAGCTGGGAGGGCTGTCCCGAGAGGCTGGGAAGCCCAAGTCCCTGCCCACACCGTCCTGGCATCCAGGCCCGGGCTTACCTGGGGCCCCCGGCTCCCTCTCCTGCAGCTCCAGCCCCTCCTCAGCCACCCACCGGCTCTGCTCCTGGATGAGCTGGTGGAAGGAATCGTGCACTTCGCTCTCATCGTAGGGGCTGAGCTCCTGGCTGCAGGGGGTAGAGGCGCCAGGCTCCAGCCACCCGTCTCCCCCAACCAGGCCATGATACGCCCCAGCCCACCAGCCCCCAGACCCACAGTGCTTACCCCTGGTCCCCTGGGGTCTCAGGGACATCGAGGACAAAGGCCAGCGGTTGGGCCATGTCTGCGGCCCACACCCAGCCGGCCTGCAGACCTAGGCCAGCTCCGGGCCTGGGCGCCGACTCCAGAGCCTCCCGCTAGGCATCTGCGGAGACAGGGAGCAAGTTGGCCTTCAATGCCCGGCTCGCGTCCAAACCACCCACTCCCCTGGGGACGGTGGGAGGTGTCACTCACAGCCCAGGCGGCTGAGCCCCCATCCTGCCCCAACCACAGCTGAACTCGTGGTCAGGTGAGTGGCCCCAAATAAGCGGGAGGCCAGAATGGACCGAGGGGACGGCCCCTTCCACTGCCCAGGCTGGAGGGGGAAGGAGGGGGAAGGAGGGAGGGAGGAAGGGGGTTGCAGTTCCCCATCTGCTTCCTGCATGTCGCCAGTCGTGGGGAAATGGGGAAGGGGCAGGGTGCCTGTGGACACAGCCCCTCCCAGCCCTCCATTCCCAGGGTTCTGGCCCAGAGAACCTCCCGCTTGAAGAGAAAGGTCAGCTCAGAGGCCTTCCCTGTACCCGCCCTGTGACCTAAAGCACTTCCTCCAGCAGGAAGCCAGCCTGGGCCTCAGCCCCCAGCCCAGGAGGAAGCAGGAGACAGGACGGCCTCCCGGTCACATCACACACAAGCCCACGGGGTCACTCCAGGTCACTCCTGCGGGGGCTCCAAGGTCCTCCTGTTCTCAGGAGACCCACACCCCCACATTCCATCAGCCAGGCGCAGCCAGCTGGAGGGAGGGGCCGGCCTTAAACAGGCCCTTTGTCCCAGCTCTGCCGTGACCATCACCCACAGTCACTGACACAATCAGAACCACAGCGGCCTTGTCTGGGGCTGCAGCCCCGGGTCTGTTCACCCCGTGGGAGTGGGGTGGGAGCAACAGGCTCCCACAGGGCTCTGCCCGGCCTGGCTGTGGCCGCCCTGCCCTCCAGGCCTCCCCACCCTCACCCCTGGGAGCTCCGGACTCAGGAAAGTTGGCTCAGCCCAAGGGCGTGGGCAAGACCGGTGGGGCCCAGAGGAGCCGCAGGGCGGGGTGCCAGACAGCGTCGGGATGCGCAGTGCGAGCTGCCCCCCACCACCCAATCCCTCCGCGCGCCCGCCCGGGAAATCCGGCCTGGACCCCCGCTCAGCCTCAGCCGGAAAGTTGCGAGGTGGGGCCGAGGGTGCCCGTCCTGGCCCTGGAGCCGGCTCCCTCCTCCCGAGCGACCTGCCGCGCTCAGGCCCACAGGCTCCGGGGCCCTCTCCACCACCTCTCCCGCACGAGGGGCGCGAGGAGGCCGCGGGGCTGGGACCCCGGCTGCCCGCCCTGGCGGTGGGGACTTCGCCCCGCAGAGACCCAGCGCCCTGGCACCCTGCCCCCAGGCCGGGGCAGGTCTGGCGGGGGTTTCCGGGGCGCACCATTCCTGAGCCAGGTGGGGAGGGGCAGGGTGCCGCCGTTTCCTGGAACCCCCACCCAGGCAGCTGCGAGTCCTCCGGGCGCAGCCGCTGCCCAGGAAGAGTCGCAACCCGGCCTCAGAGCCCAGGGGCCACAGCACCGCCGGAGCCCCCGACCCCCGCTGGCCACTCACCCAGGTCCCCGCCCCTCGTGGCCAGTGGTACCGGCCCGCGCGACCCGGCCGGGGTCACACCACCGCGCCCCCGCTGCGCGGGGCTGGCCGGGTGGCCTGGAACTGCAGTGCCCGCGCCCCCACCGCCCCTCCGGCGCCCAGCTGGGGTCCAAGCCAGAGAGCCAAACCCCAGGACACCCAGGACAGCTCGGCCGCCAAGCGGCCCCGAGGCCGAAAGGAATTCGGAGGGGTGGAGCTGGCGCCGCAGGGGAGAACCAGCCCGGGCTGGCAGGACCTGCGCGTCGCCTGCACCCCGGGGCTGCGGCCCAGCCGGGACCCCGCACCCGGAGCCCGGCCGCTCACCTGGGAGGTGCCCGGGAGGAGGGGCCCGAGCCTATGGGTGGCTCACCTGTGTCCCGCAAGGGCCGCCGGGAGCCGCGCCTGGGCTGCGCCTCCCGAGGGAGGGGCCGCAGGGTCAGCGGGAGGGTTGACAAAGGGTCCCTGGGGGCCACTGAGACAGACGGCATGGCCCGGCCCACTCGGCAGTCACGTGACCCGGCTCCCGCCCGCGGGCCCCCGTCTTATTCTGAGCGCCCGGCGGCGGCGACGTGCCCTTCCCGCCAACTTCCGACACCTCCTGGCACTCCACCGCCGTGTCAGCAGGGTGAGGGCGGCGGAGTGTCCGGTTCTATTCAGTCTCTGGTTGAAGTCCCCAATCTTGTGAGGCTCAGTTTCCCCAAGTTTCACAGGGGACACTAATTCCAGACCCATCAGCTTCACACGGTTAGAGGTTGTCGGGGCCCCACAAACACAGAGCCTTTTCTTTTTTACAGTCAGTCAGTCTGTTGCCCAGGCTAGAGTGCAGTGGCGTCAGCCTAGCTCACAGCAGCCTCAAACTCCTGGGCTCAAGCGATCCTCCTGCCTCAGCCTCCCCAGTAGCTGGGACTACAGGCATGCGCCACCATGCCCCGCTTGTGTTTTCTATTTAGTTGTCCAGCTAATTTCTTTGTATTTTTTTTTTAGTAGACACGGGGTCTCACTCTTGCTCAGGCAGGTCTTAAACTCCTGAGCTCAAAGAATCTCCTGCCTTGGTCTCCCAGAGTGCTGGGATTACAGGCGTGAGCCACCGTGCAAGGCCTAACATAGAGACTTTCAACAGGAGATTGGGTAACCCCCTTCCTCCCCTTCCTCCCTTCCTCTGCAAGCCTCCCACCCCCGACCATGGGGGTGTCTCCCCTGCCCCTCTGGGCTGGGCGTGGCTCCTGTCACCTGTCCAGGGAGAGTTCTGGCACACTCCCTGAGTGCTGGGTGGGGTGCAGGGGAAAGGAGGACGCTGACGCTGTGGATGTCCCCAGCTGCGGTGCCCAGTGCTGTTTTCTGTTATCCCCACAAGCCGGGAAGGTAGGCAAGATATTCCTATTTCACAGACAAGGAAACTGAGGCTGAGAGGGTCATCATCCTGCAGAGGCATGACTCTCGGGCCTCCTGGGAGCTCTATGGAGGAACCTGGCTTTGAGAGAGGCCCCCCAAGCCCATCTGGAGGGGGAGGGGCATTCCTGGCACGAGCAGCCTGGGCAAATGCAAGAACCCAGGAAGCGACTTACAGCTGGACGAGAGGGCGGTGCTGTGGTTGGGGCCTTTTGCAGCAATCAGTGGGGTCTTCTGGAGGGCTGCCTTGGGTTCTGCCCAGCCCTGCCTCTCCTCTCACTGCTTCCCCGCCCTGCACACCCACACTGAACTTGCATGCCCCCAGCCCCAACTTGAAGGCCACCTCCTCTAGGGAGCCTTCTTAGATTAAGCCTCAGAGGAGCACTTGCCGCTTCCTATTCAGACCTACATTTGTGGATCTCTCCCCACCACCACCTCCTCCAGCCCACTGCCTGCCCGCCTGGCACCAGCACCCAGCTGGGGGCCTGGCACAGAGGGGAGGCTCTGGAGACCAGGAGGGAGGCGGGCGGGAGGCAGAAAAGCCCCAGGAGCTTTCAGACCTGAGGTGACCAGGCTCTGCAGGAGGCAGAGAGGGAGCAAGGAGGAAGGGCAGGACTGTGGGGCCTCCCAGGGGATCCGAGGACAGGGAGGTGGCCAAGATGACTGTCAAACCTCGGGCCTGGGAGGGACACGAATGGAACCGACTGCTGAGCGCTTACTATGGCCGGGCACTAGGCCCCGGCGGCGCCACTGATAGAGGCGCGAAGCTCAGCAGTAAGGCCAAGAGCTCCTGGAACCCCAGCAGCCCGGTGCCATGGGGCCCACCTTGTGTCCTATCGCGACCTTCAGGGCGAACTGCGGCAGGGAGATAGGGGCCCCGTCCCTGAACCCCGCGGCCGGAAGGGGGCGGGCCCGGGCGAGCGCGCGGGAGCAGCCCCCGGCTTGGGGCGCGGGATCTCTGCTGTGCGCCCCGCAGGCCGGCCAGGCGCAGACCCGCGCGGACCTTCGGTCGCAGGAACCCAGCGCGCAGGAAGTGCCCTCTCGGCCTCAGTTAGAGCAGAGGAAACGGGGTGGGGGAAGGAGAGAGGTCGTGGACGGGTAGCAGATAGCGGAGGGAACCAGGGTTCCTGTCATGTGACCCGTCCCCGGCTCCCTCACAGCCCCGCCTGGCGTGGCGGGAGCTGTCGGAGGTGGGGGCTCCTCTGGGGACTTGGTCCCCTGGTCCCCAGGTGAGCTGGATGCACAGTAGGGGGAGGAGGCGGAGGGCGAGGGGGTGAAAGTGAGAACTGAGGTCGAGGGGCGGCGGTGGGGTCCCCCGTCCTATTCCCAGGGCTGGGGCTGTCGCCACGCCTCCTCCTGTGGGGCTCCTGGGGGGACCCGGAGCAGACCCAGGCCTGGGGCTGGGCTTCGAGAAGGCAGGCGGAGGGGTCCGGGCACGTCGAAGCCGGGCGCTGCAGGATGCAGATCCTGGGAGCTCTCAGGCCTTGAGCGGAGAGCTTCTTCCGGAAGCGAATTGGCAGGTGCAGAGCCAGAACTGTCTCCAGCGTACGCCCGAAGGCCTGCGGCGCAGGTGGCAGGTAGGGGTGGGATGGAGCAGGCCTTGGCTTTGTCAGTTATGGTCCGGATCCCATCTTTACCCGCCCTTGGTACTTTCGCCCCATTTGACAGATGGGGTGACTGAGGCCCCTGGCCATGTGTCGCTCTGAGAGCTGGAGCGAGACTGAGCCCAGACCCCGAACCCACAGGATTCTTTATCTTCGTTTCTGGGCATGCCAAAGCCAAGACCTTGAGGCCCGCCCCCCTGGCGTCTCACATCCCTCCTGGAGCAGGGGTCGCAGCCCGGCGCCCCCAGCCTCAACCCTCGGCCGCCGAGATGCTGCGGCAGTGGTCGGGGCAGTCGGGGCAGGCCCCCGGGGACCGGGAGCCTGAGCCGGCCGCGGAGGAGCTGTGGGAGTCGGAGATGGAGCGGCTGTGCGCCTCCCGCGCGCCCGTGCGCACGCTGCCCTACGCCATGGCCGACAAGCGCTTCATCCGGTGGGTGCCGCCCGCGCGGGGCTGGGGGCGGGGCGCGCCGCGCGCGAGGGTGCACCCGCGGATGGGGGTGCAAAGCCCGCGCTGTGGGAAGATCCCCCGGCCGGCGCGCCATCAGCCTGGCGCCGGGTGGGCAGGGTGGGTGACTCGGGGGCGCCCCCATCACCACTCCTGCCCCAGGCAGCTGCGGGAGCCCGAGGGGGTGAAGACCTCATGCTGGCAGTCGTGGCAGCGCAGGCGGCAGATGGCAGGACGGCGCCTGAGGGAGGCAGCGCAGCGCCTGGCCCGGGGCTTTGGGCTCTGGGAGGGGTCTCTCTACGAGATTGGGGGTAGGACCTGAACGCCAACCCCACTCCCTCGTCCCGTCCCGCCCCTGGGGTGTCAATGTCCAGTTTGGAAAAGAGAGTTGGGCATCCTTCCCGCTGCCATTGCCCTGGTCCACCCCACCAGTCAGCCTCTCTGTCCTCACGCACCCCCTTACCCCGACAACCAGGGCAAACCCCGCAGGTGACAGCACTCCCTGGTGGCTGTCAGAGGTCCTGCTGGACTTGTGCAGGTCCAAGCAAGGCTGGACACCCTCACCATGCTTGGCGCGTCTGCCCTCGGACTGTCTGCCCCGACCCACCCTGCTCTTCTCCCCCCAGGCCTCTTCGGCACCGGAATCCAGTCCTACTTCACCTTCCTCCGCTTCCTGCTGCTGCTCAACCTGCTCACGGTGCTGGTCACAGCCAGCTTCGTGCTGCTGCCCCTGGCCTGGCTCCACCCCCGAGACCCAGGCCCCACCATGAACTTGAGTGAGTGCCCGGCAGGGAGTGGTTCCCCAGAGCCCACTTGCACCACTGTGGGCTGGTGCCGGCCTCCCCAGGGTTGGGGGCTATGGAGTGGTAAGGGCAGAGCCTCACCCATGCTTTGGGGACCCTCCCCTCCTCAACAGCCCTCCAGTGCCCCAGCAGCCACCAGCCCCAGACTGGTGTCCCGAAGTTCCACAATCAACTTTGGAATGTTTTAACTGGCAGGGTGAGTGAGGTCTCTGCTGGCTATGGTCCAGGGGGCCTGGAAGACCCAGGGAACTGGCTTCAGGGAACTCCAGTCTAAGAGGACCCCAGCTCTCCAAGGGCATTTGGCTTCTACAAGGATAGTTTTGCAGAGACAGGCTGGTAGGGCTAGCGATGGGGTTAAAGAAAGGGAGAGGCCACCGTGCAGCACAGGCTCCTGGACAGGTGTCTACGGCCCTCGGAGCCCGCCTGGGCTAGGGGTGCAAGGAGCGAAGGGGGAAAAGTGTCCAGGCCTCTGGGACAAGCACCCTCCCCATCCCTGGACGCCATCCAGTGGTTAACAGTGTGGCTCGCAGACTCGAGTCCTGGCTCCATTTCTCAAAGCTGGGTGACCTCCGTGAGCCTTTGAGAAATGGGGGTACTCTCTACCTGATGGGGCGATTGTGGGAGGCTAATGAGCTCACACCTGGAGCACACTTAGGACGGAGCCTGACGCTCGACAGGGGCTCAGCTGTCTCTGTCGACGTCCCCAGGCCTTCAGCAACACCTATCTCTTCTATGGCGCCTACCGCGTGGGGCCCGAGGGCAGCGCGGCGTACAGCATCCGCCTGGCCTACCTCCTCAGCCCGCTGGCCTGCCTGCTGCTCTGCTTCTGCGGGACCCTGCGGAGGTGAGAGCAGAGGTCCCCAGGGCACCTTTCCTGGCAGGGTTGCCTCCCAGGTGGCAGGAAATCCCTGGCCCTGCTCAGCAGGCTCATCCACGGGGTTCCCCAGCCTGAGCTCCAGCTGCAGTCCCTGGCTGCGACCTGAGGGGCAGGGCCACCACCCCGTGCCCCCAAGGCCTGCACCTGGGGCTGTGGGGGCCTTCCCACCCCAGACCCAGAGCCCAGCCAAGGCCGGGGCTGTAGGGTCAGGGTGCCCCTCCCCCAGCAGCCCCTGGTGTCCCGCCCCCCAGGATGGTGAAGGGGCTGCCGCAGAAGCCACTCCTGGATCGGGACTACAGGGTGCCTCTCAGCGCCAAGGTCTTCTCCTCCTGGGACTTCTGCATCCAGGTGCGGGAAGCGGCCACCATCAAGAAGCACGAGATCAGCAACGAGTTCAAGGTGTGTGTGAGAGCTGAGTGTTTCGGCGTGAGAGTGTGCAGTGTGTGTGCGTGCATGGCTGAGTAAGTGTGAGAGTGCGTGTGACTGTGACCGAGTGGGCGAGTGTGAGCACGTTTCACAGTGCCCTTCCCCTCGCACCCCCCCCACACCCACTCCAGGTGGAGCTGGAGGAGACCCACCGCCTGCAGCAGGTGCAGCAGCAGTCCCCCACCCAGAGGGCCTGCCACCTGCTCAGCTACCTGCGGGTCAACGTCCTCATTGGGCTCCTGGTGGTTGGGGCCATCAGTGCCATCTTCTGGGCCACCAAGTACTCACAGGACAACAAGGAGGTGCCAAGACTGTGGGGGAGGCGGGATGATCCCACTTTACAGATAAGGAAACCAAAGCTGGGAGAGGTTAAAGAGGTCATGACAAGGTCATGGCCCGGTAGACTGGCTCCACTGTGGACATCCACTGACTGCCACGCTGCCGCTGGGATTAATCCTTGGCTTCCAGACCCTGGGCCCGGGGGAGCTGCGGGGGCCTCTAGCCATGGGCTGCCCTGACCTGCTGCTTCCCGCAGGAGTCCCTGTTTGTGCTGCTCCAGTACCTGCCCCCTGGCGTCATCGCCCTGGTCAACTTTCTGGGTCCCCTGTTGTTTGTGTTCTTGGTCCAGCTGGAGAATTATTCTCCTAACACCGAGGTCAACCTCATCCTTATCTGGTGAGTGCCACCTCTGGGGGGCGGGAGAGGAGTCTGGCCCCGCCACTCTGTCTTGGTTGTGGCCTGGGTGACCCAGGGGTCCCCAGCTGGGAGGCTCTGCTTGTTTGCTGTTGCACCAAAGGGCAGGCAGATGGGCGCATCCACAGCACATGACCTCAGGGGCCTGGATCTGAAGCTTTCCAGTCCCTTACGTCCGAAGAAAGCCAGTAGTCTGAACCAGGCACAGACAAACGACCGTTTTGCCAGAGGGTGATGGGAACTGGATTGGAACACAGAAAATGGCTTGGGACACAGCAACAGGGGACATGCCCAGCTTCCATGCCCTGAGGGTTTTACACCCTTACTTGACAACCCACACGTGACCTGTGAAGTCCAAACCGTCCTCATCCCCATTTGACAGATGAGGAAACTGAGATTCACTCTGTGAAGTGCCCAGCCAAGGTCAAGCTCACCATGCCTGCTGGGTGCAGGTTCCAACGCAAGCAAGCTCTCCCCCATCCCCAGGCTCTGCCATTCTCCATTTCACCACGTGGGTGCTGTCTGGACCCCAGCCCCTCTCCAACACGCCCAGCAGCTCACGTGCGGCCCCCCCCAGCTCCAGCTGGCTTCCCTCTCCCCACACTGGCCCTGCCTGCATTCCCTACTGCTTCCTCCAATGTCAGCCGTGTTTGCTTTGCTTTGCAACTTTATTTTTGAATAGGTTATAACACACACACGTGGCAAAAAAATTCAAGCTGCTCAAAAGGATGAAAGATAAAAGAATAAGTCCCCACCCACCCCTCCCCCCAGCCTCCTTCAACAGGACCACTGCTCCCAGCCACTCGCGTGGCATGAGTGCCCGGGTTTCAGCTTAGCCATCATACCAGCCCCTCGGCAGCACTGGGAAGGCCCACCCTTACAGAGAACGTGCCCGCAGCGGTCCTGGCGTAGGGCGACATACCTGTTTTGTCCGGTTAGGCTTCGTGCAGTAAGCGTGCAAGGCTCATGGTCATGATATACGAGATAGTGTCAGTGGGCAAGGACATTAACAGGCAGTAGAATGGAGGAAATCTCGTCTGAATGAGGACGCCGAAAGGTCCACAGAGGTCTCTACTGCAGGCTTGTCTTATAGGAATCTCAGCGCCAGGTGTAGGGGGAGGCTGTGCAGTGTTTCCCAAACTAATTTAAGAGCAGGCCCCTTTTCCCCCGAGAGGCTGGGCCGTGGATCAGAGGGGCTGGCCCAGGGCAGGACAGGATCCCACTGGGACACCAGCTACCGCGGAGCCTGGGTGGGCGCTCCTGTGCCTGGGCCCGCCCCCTGACACAGCCCCGCCCCCAGGTGCGTGGCGCTGAAGCTGGCCAGCCTGGGCATGTTCTCCTTCTCGCTGGGGCAGACCGTGCTGTGCATCGGCAGAAACAAGACCAGCTGTGAGCCCCACGGCTACAACGCCTGTGACTACCAGGTGGCTGGCAGCCTGGCAGGGCCTGTCCCTCCCGTCCTCCGCAGAGTCCCGCCCCAAACAGTGCAGAGCCTTGTCCCTGCCCCTTTAGTCTCCCTGTCACCCCCTGGGGGTCTCCCCGTTGAGACAAGCTGTGAGCAGGGGTGCCCATGCAGCAGCACACCTCCAGGGGCGCCACTGCCCCCCGACTCTGTGTTGTGCAGCGTGACAGCCCTGGCTGTGGGGTTCCCTGCTCTAATCCTGTCCTCCGGGCCTGGGTTTTAACTTAGCAATCACACCCGCCTCCAGGCAAGGCCCCTATGCCACGGAGACCCCCCTCGTGAGGGTGGGTGAGGGAGGGGAGGCTGGGGACTGGGGGCTGACGGGTCCCCTCCCTCTGCACCCAGTGCTGGGAGAACTCTGTGGGGCAGGAACTGTACAAGCTGAGCACCTTCAACTTCCTCCTCACCGTGGCCTTCGCCTTCCTGGTCAGCCTGCCGCGGAGGTGACCCGAGTGGGGACACGGAGAACGGGGGTGGTGTGGGGATGGTGGGGATGCCCAGTGGCCACGGCCAACGGTGAGCCAGGTCCACACGTGGATGTCCGTGGGAGCGAGAGTCGGTCCGGGGCCATGACCAGTGCAGCCCCCACGTCAGTGGTACCTGAGCCTACCCCCTCCCGCAGGCTGTTGGTGGAGCGGTTCTCGGGTCGCTTCTGGACCTGGCTGGACCGGGAGGAGTTCCTGGTGCCCAAGAACGTGCTGGACATCGTGGCGGGGCAGACAGTCACCTGGATGGGCCTCTTCTACTGCCCCCTGCTGCCGCTGCTGAACAGCGTCTTCATCTTCCTCACCTTCTACATCAAGAAGGTGCGGGCTCACGGTGGGGTGGGCACCCTGAGTGTGTCCTGGGGCCAGGCCAAGCTGGGCCGCCTCTGCTCTGCGCCCCCTGCCCTGGGCCCGGGCCCCTGGGCCCAGCCAACTGCCGACTCCTGGTGCTCTGCCTGCCCCCAGTACACCCTCCTGAGGAACTCCAGGGCGTCTCCGCGGCTCTTCCGGGCCTCCAGCTCCACCTTCTTCTTCCAGCTGGTGCTGCTCCTGGGCCTGCTCCTGGCCGTGGTGCCCCTGGGCTACGTGGTCACCAGGTGCGGGAGGGGGTGGGGAGGCACCGCCCGGAGGCTGGGGGGCGGGCAGCTCCTTGCCTGGGGCTCTGACCCCAGCCCCACTGGCTGCCCCTCTCCAGCATCCACTCCTCTTGGGACTGCGGCCTCTTCACCAACTACTCGGCCCCCTGGCAGGTGGTCCCAGAGCTGGTGGCCCTCCGGCTCCCGCCCCCTGGCCAGCGTGCCCTGCACTACCTCAGTTCCCACGCCTTCAGCTTTCCTCTCCTCGTCACGCTCAGGTGCCTCTCAGGGCTACAGGGGCCACAGGATGGGACACCTGGGACGGGGGTTCTTCCTCCCATGGGGGGTGGAGACCTGGGCACCCCCAGCCAGCCTCATGGGATCCAGGAGCCAGGCGGAGAGCCCAGGGAAGCAGGCACCCAGGTCCCGAGGGGCCCCGGTGCCTCACCTGCAAAGCGGGCACTTTCTGGGCCACCTTCTGGGATGTCCTGGGCACTGCAGGACCAGGGCAGGAGCACAGGTTGGGGAGAGGAGGCACCTGCGCTCCCAGGGGAGCCTGACCTTGAACCCCTCCTGCCCCAAGCCTCGTCCTGACCGTGTGCGTCTCCCAGTCCCGGGCCAACGCCAGGGCCATCCGCGGCCTCCGGAAGCAGCTGCTGTGGGTGAGTGTCCGCTGGGCGGGGCGGGGACACCTGAGGAGTGCGTGGCCTGGGGCTGGATCGGGGGCGAGGGAGGATGGGGGCGTGGGGCCTCGGGTGGGGTCTCGATGATGTGGGCGCCTGGTGGCGCCGTGCTGTGGCGGGACCCGATGGGCGTGGTCTCTGGTGTGCTGGGGATGGGGCTTTTGTGGGTGTGGTTACAGCTTCGCAGTCTTCATCAGGCTCAGGTGTCTCTGGGGGCCACCTACTGGGGCGTGGCCTCCGGCGGCTTTGAGGGTGAGCTCTTGTGGATGTGGCCTCTGGCTGGGGGCGGGCCCTGAGGGGCGTGGCCTCTGGCTGCGTTGGGGGCGGGGTCTTGTGGATGTGGCCTCTGGCTGGGGACAGCCCTGACGGGGCGTGGTCTCGGGCTGCGTTGGGGGCGGGGTCTCGTGGGTATGGCCTCCGGCTGGGGGCGGTCCCTAAGGAGCGTGGTTTCTGGAAACGTTGGGGGCGGTCCCTGAGGGGCGTGGTTTCGGGCTGCGTTGGGGGCGGGCTCTTGTGGATGTGGCCTCTGGCTGGGGCGGTCCCTGAAGGGCGTGGTTTCGGACTGCGTTGGGGGCGGGCTCTTGTGGATGTGGCTTCTGGTTGGGGGCGGGCCCTAAGGAGCGTGGTTTCTGGAAACGTTGGGGGAGGTCCCTGAGGGACGAGGTTTCGGGCTGCGTTGTGGATGTGGCCTCGGGCTGGGGGCGGTCCCTGAGGGGCGTGGTTTCGGGCTGCGTTGGCGGCGGGCTCTGGTGGGTGTGGCCTCTGGCTGGGGGC